ATTACCCTCTCTTACACTTTGTGTTAAAGTATTTTATATTTATTTTTTATTGCATTAGGTAAAAACATGTAAATGTGTCGTGGTTTATTTTACTTATGAGAGCAGGGACGGCAAGCTGTTCAGGGCACATTTTCTCTTTAATGTAAGGATAGTATCAACAAATAGGAGTCTTGATTTAAAGAGATTGTGACAGGTTAATTTTCTTAAGAGAAATTTGTTTAACCAGCAATACCAAGTACATAAACCAAATACTCAGGAAACCATTTTCTAGCAAATCAGCAATCAAACAATCCAGAACCCCACATTTCCAAGGTGTTTGGAAGTTGTTATGGTATAAATTGCCTTAAGTACAAGTTAATGATCATATTTGCTTTTTATTCGCCGAATTCCAAAATTTTCCACTAGCTTTATTTACACCAAAGCAAGTCAGGTGATAGAACTGGACTGCACCACTGTAATGCTCTAGTTTGCAATGGTTGCTTATCTGACAGGGGATTTTATGAAACACTGCGCATTCCTTTACCTTGTAAAACAAAAACCTAATGCAAAAAATCCTTTGACCTGATATTTGATCCTTCTTAGGTTACAATTTTAAAATAATGATAAAAATTATTGAGCCCCAAACACTATCAAATGCATATGTTAAGCAACCTCCTAACAACACTGACATTTTCAAACTTCAAAATCATTTTTAAACCTTTGTTTTTACAATACAGACTTACAAAACTCTCATTTCCATGTAATAAAGCATACACTTACAGCTCAACATTTAAGAATTACTCCCAAGACATTTTCTAAAAGTTACAGAAATTCTCAACTCATCCATAAAAGACTATTTGCTTCAAAGTCCAGAATTCTGAAAATATTAACTGGTTCCTCATGTTTGCAATTCAATAAATCCACTATTCACAAAATTATATTTTCACACAGATGGCCAAAAATCTCATTTTCTTCCATCAATTTGTAGCTTTGCTCCTTCCCTTCTCCCCCCTCTGTCAGCAACTCAGCACCTCCTTCCCCAGCCCTTAGGTTCTCTTGTCACCTCACAACCAACTCCTCTGGTTCCCTCCTATTCCTGCACCCTGTGCTTGTCCAAACTGCCCACTTTTTCCTGTGGTTTCTAATTGCCAGCTGGACAGGCCCCAACACTGGTGCGCAACAGCTCTAACTCACAGGTCAGCACACACACCCATCAGCTGCAGAAAGTGAAACATGGCAGCGCAGTGTTGGTCTCACACTAATGCATACTTCTGCAGAGATATTAACTAAAATGTCTCTTCCTTAATGAAAAGGGACAACCTAAATGCGTTTAAAACCTCTGCTTCCTGCACTGAATTAAAGTGAAAGCTGTAAATTGGTCATTACAGTGTAAGTCTTGAAAATTAGATATGAAATTGGCTCTAAATTTCAAGAAGGTATAACCAGATTGTGAGGATGGAATGGCACGGACCCAGAGGTAGAGTGCAAGCTGGATCATTTATTGCAAAGGTTACACAATATTTATATGCTTCCAAGCAATTAGCTAAGCACATCTGTGTTTGCCTTGTGGTTACATCAGGTGAAAGGTCTATCTGATTTTCTTATCAACATCCTCTTTCCAGTTCCAATATCCTTGTTCCTTGCCAGTTCCAACATCTTCCAAGTACCAGTCAGGGACAGGTCACTCTTAATTGCCTGCTTGAGTTCCTCCTTCCCATGGTCTCCGACAGTTTCGATACATTCCAACCCCCACACCAGATCAACAGAAGGCCCATAACATGAATGGGTCAGGAACTACATAGCTACCTTCAAATATGAAAAAGAGCTCCAGTAGTTATTAAAAACCAAAACACAATAAATCAATAGCTACCTTAATAGCTTCTTAAGCCGATTTCCGCAGTAGTGAATACCACATATAACTCTGTAATACCAAATACTTTACACAATGTCCAGGTTTGCAAAGAGAGTAGTACCCTGAACCCCTAAAAATTGAAAAAGTATAAACTGAGTATTACATCATAAATGATTACACAAAGATAATAATTCTGTACTGTTTATTAAAACATTGATTGTGTTGTTTATGTGCTGCACAGAGCCTATAAAAGGCTCATTTCCACTGAACAACCGGGTAATAAAGGAAAACATATGCAAGTTCAGGTAGGATCAGTCCCTTTGAATGCAAGGCCCTTAGAGTGCCATTGCCTCGAGAGACATTTGTGTAATGCCACAAACAATTCAGGTTCTAAACCACAGGCTTTTCGTAACAGTACACATTAGGCTTCATTTGGCTATTTCTTGAGCCACTATAAACCTTCAACACCTCAAACTCCACTAACAGATTGCCTTGTAGTAAAGCAATTTTCCCTTTCCATACTTTTTACCCATCAGGCTCAAAAGCTACACGTTGTAAGCAAAGTGGTAGTAACTGGACTCTGGCACCAAGACTTGCTTGCAAATTGCACTGATGTGTGGTAAGAAATCATGTACTGTAGTCACAGTGTACATATGCAATTAACCATCCTCCAAATTTCTATACTTGAATTTTCTATGTTTCTGACAGCAACAGAAGAGGGGTTATTTTTCTGATATGTTTCTCTATATAACTAAATTGGCTGAAAAGCCAAACCCCTTTAATCAAACATCCTGTAAAGAGTACAGGGTGTCAAGAAGCACACACCAAGCACATTCCATTTGTGAGGTTTCAAACACAGCAGTAAAATGAAAGGAGCATGAAGGTTTTAAGTAAAGGACAGCAGGAAGAAAACAGAAGCTTCAATGTAAGCATGGGAAAGAAAAATAAAAAATTTAGTAAAAATAAAATGGGAGGTGATTAACTCTACACCATGCATTCAGTAATATAGCAAGAGATTTATACTTTCATCTACATGGTCACTGTGAGAGACAGACTGCTGTAGAGAAGGCTGCATGGAGATCTCAACAGCAACCTCCCAATACGTGAAGGGGGTCTACAAGGATGCCAGAGAAGGACTCCTCGTCAGGGACTGTAGCAATAGGCCAAAACGGGATGGGTGTAAACTGAAACAAGGAAAATTCTGATTAGCTATAAGGAAGAAGTTCTTCCCTGTGAAGGTGCTGAGGCGCTGGCACATGTCAGCCAGAGAAGCTGTGGCCTGGCAGTGTTCAAGGCCAGGCTGGATGGGGTTTGGGTGCCACAGTCTAGTGTGATGCATAACTGTCCATGGCAGGGGGTCTGAACTAGATGATTTTAAGGTCCTTTCCAGCCCTAACTATCCCACGATTCTATGAACAGAGAGGCACTGCTGTCCACAGAGCAACTTCACCAGACTTAAAATTCAAGTAACAGATCCTCTGTGGACAGGTGAGACAAGGCAGCGGTAGTACTTTTCAGAAGCATTACCTGTGAATCAAGTGTTTCTCAAAACGAAAATGCCTCAGATTCTGCAGAACAGAGAAGTGATCGGATCCTTGTAGCCATCTCCCACCCCTCAAATTAAACCCCAAATGCAGTAAACGTTCTCACATTAACACAGTGCGACTTGAAATACGTAATGGTGACCTTGACCTAAAACCCATCTGGAACATTCAGATCCCAGTTCAGGCTCCAGGAACGTGCTGCCCCTTGCAGTACACGCACGTGCCCGCCATCCATGGCTAACCCTGCCTGTGCTCCAGCTACATACCCTGCCAGGCTCCGCTCAGGGCTGGTTGTTGTCAGCAAACAGCAACCACAAGGCTTCCGCAATGAACAAAGCGGCAGCTCTCAAGAGTGGCGCCAAGATATTAAACGGGGAAAAAAAAACCAAACAAACAACAACAAATCATCTTTCTGTCTGAAGCAGGTGCAAGTAACGGGGTGTTGGCACTGACAAGCAACACTTCCCCTCACTTGGTACCCCCACACCGACCCAGCCGTCTGAGTGCTGACGGGTTTCAGCCCTTTGCTTTCTCAGTCCTTCTGAGGTACAGACGAGGTACGAGTAATTCGTCGGAGAGGAGGACAAACACCTTCCTCCACAACGCGCCCCTCCCTCGGGTGCCTGTGCGCCCGCGTACCTACCGCCACACCCCGACACCCCGCTGAGGCAGACGTGTCCCGACAACGCCGCCGCTTCCCCCCCACACCGCGCACGAACGCGGGGAGCGGGGCCTGTTCCGGCCCTACACGGGTCTCCGGGCCCCGCGCCCCCCACGACAGGCTCACGGCCGCCGTTGCTATGGGGACCGCCTGTCAGTCACTCACCGCGGAGCGGCCGTGCGCGCCCGACACAGCCCGACCACAGAGCGCTGGGGCGACAGCCGCTAGACCGGGATCGAGGTTCCGGGGCCGGACCCCCGCGGGCAGCTCTGCCCCAAGCCTCGGCACACGCACCCCTTGCCCCCACCCCGCCACCGTTACCTGCAGGTGACTTTGAGGGCGACAAGGAAAGCGCAGCCCAGCAGGATGGCGGCGCCGCAAAGCAGCTCGGGTCGCCGCGCCATCTGGGCAGCACGAGGCCGCAGCCGCGGGGTAGCCGCGGGGCCAGAGTCGCCACATAACGACATCGGAGCGGCCGAGGCGGGGAGGGGTGCGGGCCGCCGGCCGCTCCCGCTCGCACACGTCTCCCTACCGCCCGCCTGTCAGCCGCGCCGGGGAGGGGCCCTCCGCCGGCGAACCCGCCGCCGCCACGTCGCACCGCCCCGAGCAGGCGCACGGCCGGCCGGGCAAGGCCGGGGCAGCGGGGGGGGCAGGCGCGCCGACCGCGGCGGCTGACGGGACCCCTCGGGGCAGCGGAGGCAGAGCGGGGCTCACTGGCGGTCCTGGGAGCACCGTGAGGTCGGTGGTCCTCACTTGCGCCCCGGCCTCGGGAAAACCGTGCTAAGAATGCCTTCGACGGCCCCCTCCTGTGTGTGCAGGGCAGTTACAATCCCCGTCCCCGGGATCAGTGAGGGGGAAGTAATTCCCCAGTAACTCCTCCGTTCCTGCGAGGAGCGAGCCCCCAACCCCGGCAGCTGTCCCCGACAGCCCCACACCACAGTCATTAAAGATCTCACACCGTTCGTACGGAACAAGGATTTCATGTTTAGTTTTGTCTAGAATTATTTCGAGTAATTTACAGTGCACTTACATTAAACAATGAAAGCATAAAATTGAGAAAACAATTCAGAAAGGCACACGATACAATCAGGTTTTGTCACAGCAATAACTGTCCATAATACTCTATTTCAAGCTCAGTTCATTACAAACAATGTAAAAAACTAGCACTGCAGCAGGTGGTATTTCAAGCACCAAGCTACGCCTGTATGCACACTGTACATCATATTCAAATGGCCTTCAGCCTTGCTGGGAAGGAACAGTTCTCCCTCACTCTGGCTGAAGTGTAAGGTGGTGTTCTGTAACTGTTGTGCTTTTACTTTGTGAAGTGAATGGCACAGGGCCTCCAGGCTCATCTTCTGCATGGGTATGTATCACTGAACTTTGGTTCAACACTTTTTACATACACACTATGTGGCCAATGACTACATTCAAACTACTGAAGTCATTCTTAAAGCTCTTCTAATGACATAAGGTCAAGCCAATAACAGAAAAAATACTATTAAGAGAGAGAAGTATGGGGAAAATAAGAAAACTAGCTTCAGCTACTTTGAATGCCTAAATAAAGCTCGTTTTGGGGGAAAAAGAAAATTAAAAAGGACATTAAGTGACCGCACAAAGCAAGCTGAAAGCACAATCTGCAGCGAAGTCAAAACACGACAGAAGCTCTGGCTACTCTAAAGCCAAAGGGCTTATCAGGCTAAAAGCACCTAAGCCCATGGATGGTTTCCCTTTGCTGTGGGCTGCAGGAAATGTCATCTAAAGTCCCATCCACCTTGCAGCTGAGGTGGGGGTGCTTCATGCCAAAGTCAAAAGACTAAAAACATGTCCCAGCTCCAAAATGGTGTCTCTACTTCACAAGTGAGCTGGCTATTCTTGCTATTTAGTGATGCAATGAGCTAATGACAATACAGAAGACTGCAAATGAGAAGCTAGAGATACAAATAGAACTTGGTATAAATTTTTAGCTACAGGTGCTCAAGCTTTTGCTAAAAATGAAATAATTGTTTTTTTTTACAAAATCTCAGTCCTGAGAGGCTACATGCACAAAACAGCTTTGTGTAAAGTTCTCTTTATTACAGGCAACATTAGTCCATACAATAGTACACAATACTGACATACAAGTGTAATCTTTCAAAATCATCAATTTAAACAGCAAAGACCAAGAAACAGAATTTTAACTACTTCATTTTTTTTTCTTTCCAAGATCCTTTTTCAGTAAATTATATTGAAACATACAAATAGAGAAAAAATACCCATTCAACATATACTGTAGTTAAATGGTTATTTTGTGTAAAATCTTTAATAAGAAAAATCCTTTTTAGCAACCTACATATAGATAAGTAGCAAACTTTGTTTTAAACAAATCCTCTCCATTAAAAGATCTGAAGAATTTTCATCCATCTTCTTAGCCCGTAACACTCTGTTTTGCAATACCTTAATACCTTAAAGTTTTTCAACTGAAGGACTGATACTAGGGGGCTTCCTAGATTATAACTTCTCTTCCCCCCTTCTATTTCCTAACTTTCTGTCCAACAGAAAGTGAGTAAGCGCGTAATACTTCAGATTTTTATTTAATCACCACTCTGTTTCATGAGAGCACAGACAGGTCTGCTCAATCCCCCTAAATCTACTATATTTTGCTGTTCAGGAGGAACAAGATATGCCAATAAAAGCAGAAAACCTGCAGCTTATCTGTCACATGCTTTTTATTATTGTCAAATTTTCTGGTTTATGCTTCCAGCTGATAACATGTGTGTGTCACCTCAGTATTAGTTTAAATCTTTAAACAAAAAACTATATTTTCCAAAGTCATTATCACTGGGAGCAATCAAGTGATCTTTCCTTGCTTTGCTGAGCTTCATTCTTAAAACTTGTCGTCGTTCTTCCCACTCATGGAGTTCAGCATTTCCATGGGCAAATTTACAGTTGTTTCCTTCAGTACAAGTACCAGCCATATATCTGTTAAGACAGATTTCAAACAGTGTTTTCACAGAATCATCACAATGGCTATTGCATCTAGGTATTTTCTTCTGTTCATGCTTCTCAAATACACTACAACATTAAGGATAAAAATAAAATACTAGAAGAGAATTTACTTTTAAAGTAAGACAATACTAACTTGTATTACATTTGATTACATTTTTCTCTCCCAGCTGTCAAGTATTTATAGAGGACAAGAGATGGCTCTCTCCTTTCTGTTCTTCATGTTCCTACTTTACTAAGTCATTTAATGTGTGGTGCCTGGTAATTTAACCTGATGAAATTAAAAGTAAATGAATACATTATCGTTTAACTCATTAAACTAAAGCACTACTATTGTTGAAAAAAATCCAACTAATTCATTACCCTTTGTTAACTAAATTTGGATTTTAAGTACTCAGTATGACTTAAGATTTTATCCTAGTATTTTTGTTCTAAGCATGCCAGTTTGTATTTGCTTTATGTTAAGTGTACATGAGGTCTGTTAGTGCTCAAAACATCAATACTTTAGGATGTTACTTAAAAATTTAGTAAAGGGGGCATGTAGGCTTCCACACAAAGGCTGCAAACAAAAAATAACTTGCTTTATATCCTGTGTAATTTCCCAAGATTTCTAAAGCATTCAAAATCTTTGAAACAGAGTAAGAAAGGTATCCATATCAGCAAATTGAATCTTTAATGCCAGAATGCAGATTCTAAAGTTCTCAGCCTTCAAAAAGATACCAGCAGTGGAAAGAACTTTCAACATATTTGTGACTGCAGTCAGGTAAACAGGCAGCACTGAAGAATTAAAGGGACCAGCAAAACATACAACCACTACTGGGGAAAACCAGTAGGTCTTGGAAGTTCTCTTCCACATATTCATAAATGACTTTAGTAACAAATAAACAAATCTGCTTTGATGCTAACATTTTTACTTGCCTTACAGCTGCAATATCATGTCCAGCTAGGTACTGTTCTTGTGTTCGACAGGGAATTAACATGCAGATGCTTAAGTAAACTTGTAATAATACCAACAATATTTCACACAGCTGCAATAACCTAGCTTAACGTCACACAAACATTGATTTGCTTCCACAATTGGGCACATTGTCACTCACACAGTTCTAAAAGCATGTGTTAAAATACTGTAAATTACTTAATTTCTTGTTCAAAGATTTATGCAAAGCAAGAAAGACTAGAAGCATCTGTCAAAATGAATAACCACCTTAATTATTGACACTACAAACTGTCATTTTTCAGCATTTTTGACATCTTAAAAGCCACATACCTATCACAAATGCTAAAATTTCCAGTTGGAAAGCGATACTGCCAGCAGTTTTGATCGTCTTCGGTGTGGAAAACCTTCTCTTTATGCTTTTCAGAAGAAATGTGACCCTGCCATTGCTTCTCACTATTACAGTTCTTCCCACACATCCAACAGTGAAAATCCACCTGATTTACAATGAATTTGAAAACAAAACATTGAGAATTCAATACTGTAAGCACAGAGCTGCCCCTAACACATTTTGGATGTTTGCTTTATGTTGGCCTGTAAATTGTTGTTAACCTAACAGATGTAATTCTTTAAACAATCACCTTAAGTTTATGATCGCTACTGGCTTTAGAGGATTCAGAAGTGCTTTACAGTGTCAGTTAAAAGTTTGCAATTAGCATAGCTACCTATTATCTAAGGAAACACTAAGAAAATAAGGATAACAATGCATGTTACTGATTGGGGGGGATGTGACACTGCAACAAAAACACCACGTTTGAATTTAGAATTATATCTATGATTACTTACTGTAACTTCAGCATAGTCAGTCGGCATGTGAATTTGCTTCCCATTCTCTTTGTTTGCCTGAGCAGCTGTATCATCTCCCTTTTCTGGTTTTTGACTTTTTAGCCATATGTCATACAACTGCTCCAAGTCTTGAACTAATGAGAGCAGAAGCTAAAATAAGTAATTAGCAATTGAGGCAAGAGTTTGAGAATACTAGATAAATGAGTGAGTTTGCAAGCATAATTCAGTCCCCACCTGTTGTAAGAATCAAAAAGGAAGGACATAATGTAGACAGTTACACAGTGTAGAGGTAAGACCTTAGAGAAGTATCAGTCTCTGGCTACTTACCAAGACCCATTGTGCCTGTCTAGGGGAAAGTAAGATGTTGCACACTTTTGAACAGGCACCCGAAGTACAGGTAACAACTGTGCCACTGGGTAATACCTGTTGCTGTGTAGTGATACCTGAATTTTAAAATACTAATATAAAGTGTACTACAGCTTTTGGCAAATTTAGTCTGCTTTCTTGTAGACCACGGTAATATAATTTATGTCATATATTACTTCCAACTTTTTGCTTTATGTCCCCAGTAATTTGATTTAATTCAATAATGTGAATAGTAAATTACAGTGAGTGCACTGGGGGGGAGGCAGAATTCTTCTGCTAATAGCTTGCCCCCACGTTATCAGCAGAATCCTAGTGTGTGCACATGGCAATACAGAGTATAAACACCAAACAATATTGCAGCATGGATCAATATACTGTTTCTAAGACATCTAAAAAAACAATTATACAAACTGTTGTTAAAAACCACAAAAGCAACAAATATATAATGTAGCTTTTTTTATTTAATACTGGTTTTGAATACCTAGTCTGGGTCTATTCAAATTAACCACACCCACCTCCCCCCCCCAAAAAGGCACCTGCAAGGCTTACTACAAAAGGCAGTGAAAGAAAGTGGATTAAAAAGTAAGTGAGGAACAAGAATGAAAAGTAGAACAATTAGATTTACAAGGTTTAAGATTCACTCTTCTACTTACTGCTGTTCTCCTTCATATAGGTCCACATCTCTCTCTCCTCAGGACTGTGAGCAAATGAGCAGTTTCCATCGTACTGGCATTTCTTGCCCGAAGTAATATGATTGCACAACTGTAATGTGAATTAAAAAATATATCCTTCTGAATATAAAATAAAACAGATGATAGTAAAAAATGGGGGTTGGGGGGGAATTCAGTCTTGGCTAGTATTTTCCTTCCCAATCAGCCATTTATATCACATGAAAAATAAAATCATATTTACTTTATAAAAACCTCATATACTGTAGTTAGAAAAATCAAATTGCTGGAAGCAAGCACCATGACTGCTTTTTGCCTCCTACCAGATTACCAGTCTACAGATATGTTTAAGCTATTTCTGAAATATTTTCTGGAAATAGTCAGAACTTAAAACTTCCACAGGGAAGGTACTTCAGTAATAACAGTGAGATCAGTGCTTTTCTAAGGCTCAAACTCTGTATAAACACTATAAACATACTCCCACCAACTATAAACAAATTCCCAAACAATGGAAATATCTGCAGAGCTGAGGAAACCAGCCCAACAACTAGTATTTTCCAGTTAGCCTATTTTCTGAACTAAAACGTTAAGTTTTAGATTAACATACATCAAATTGCAGAGGCACTTGTTTCCTTGCCGGAAGAGGACGAATGGTCATCCACTTTTTACGTTCATTAGACATTACTAGCACCACACGGCGATCTTTGGTCCATCTAAAAACCAGAAAATACTATTAAAAAATACATAATGTGTACACAGAAGCAGAACCATGAAAGCCCAGAAAGGCTTTTTTACAACGCTTTTTTCTTAATTTAGCTGAATTCTGCTGAAACTTTACCACAATTGCGTACATGATAATTAAAAAACCCAACACAAAAAATCCCCAACCAGCCACCAAAGTGTTTCTTATTGCCAATTATTAATACACAACAACAAGACGACAGTGTTCTGCTTCAATATATTTTTTAAATTCCTCATATGACTCTTTCCCAAGCAGTAACAAGGTCTCCCAATAGAGGTTTTAACTGGCTGATATAACACTTTCACTGTGTCTTCTTACTTACGGGTGTCTTGCCTTTGCACTACAATATTTTCTGTTTCTGTCTGGCTCATTAACTTGACCATTTCTCCAGCACTGACCACAAACAAACTTCATTTTCAAATTAAGTGATCCATATTTCATTTGGTTCCCAAGGATCTTAAGTCAAAAAAATAACAACAACAATAAAAGGTACTTTGTATCTGCAAAGAAATGCATACATAATTACGAATTACGTCCTACAATAAGTTTACAACACATCTGGAAGCAGATGTTACACTGTAATAGTTCAGCCTGTAATTTCAAACTAGACATTTCTTAACAAATGCCTTTTTATTTAACTTATTTCTGATTTCAAACCCAGAAGTTGTGACAATATATACAAACTAAACATATAAAATTCCTACATTTTGAAAAGATAATTCATTGCCCTATGGCAGCTGACTTTAAAATTGTATTTATGTTCTGCCTAAGATAGAGTAAGCAAAGCAAAGAATTGCACAGAAGCAAAGCAGCATTCTAGAGTAAATGGAGTGAGCCAAAGAAAGCCTATATATTATTTGAAGAGAGCATTTAAAAAGTAACTTCTAAGTAAGATACATTATACACAGATACAGAAAAAGAACAATCACCAAATTCACTGTAGAATTAGCTTAATGGAAAACCAAAAATACCTGTGACCCATGTGCACTAGCTTCCATGTTCTGCCAGTACTTCTTTGATTCTTGAACAATAGTATCATGTGAAATATCTGTAAAAGAAGAAGAAAAGTTCTTGAGCACTTACGACTGTTGTAGCATTGCAGGCATGCTCGAACTGGAATATTTCTGAAGCTCCAAAGCTTTTATCTATTTTTCTTTTTATATATTGTATACATATACAAACACTCACTTGTGGGTATAGATATACATCATACACACATATGGGCCTTCAAAACAGAAATACTGTATATGTCATCACATGAAAAGCAAACATAAACTTTTTTTGAATTACATATTGCTTAAATAAGGTCCATCTTTTAGTATTTATTTAAACATAAAGTACTAAATGTGTAACGTCACTCAGAAAAACTACCCAAAAGGCAAGCTGACAGACACTGGATCACCCCTGCCTTATTTACAAAGACTGTAAACAAGTCCCGTTAATTAGGTTTTGCTTCAGAAGAAAACCACAAAACATTCTTATAAATATTTTGACTAAGGTTCCTATAGCAGCTATACAGTGTTCACACATACCGTAATTCCACACAAATACAGACTGTCATCTATGTTTTGATTTGAGGAACGGTAAAACAATTCTTTCCTGAGGTAGCATTCCTTTATTTCCCGCACCTTACGTTCAGAACAGGAACCTCATTCAAAGAGTAGAAGGACTTTGGCAAAGCATGAGGGCAGCATGAACATATCATAAAATACAAAATATGCCTTCTGTGGCAAACCAGGTTTCTTGGAGACCTCAACCCTGACTTCCAAATAGAAGTTACAGTGTTAATGATTTGCTATCCTTGACTTTGTAGGGGCAGCTGGTGAGAAAATAACCGTTTTACTTTCACATAGAAACTTCTAAAGACTCTTGCAAGGAGAGACAGAACAGAAAAACTGCAAAGAAACAGTTCTCTTGTCTCTATTTGACTTTCTTCCTCCAAAATTTTCAGGTCAGCATGACATCTCATGTCAGTATACCTATACAAGAATCTAGATAGAAAGCTGAAGCAACAAGGAACCTCTTCTTCAAAGAGCGGTGTCCTGGGCTCAGCAGTAAGAGTCATTTTTTCCTCCTTCTTAGTAGCTGGTGCAGTGATTTGTTTTTGACTTTCGGCCTGGGAACAGCACTGGTAACACTGATGTTTTTAGTTACTGCTCAAATGTTTACTCTGACCAAGGACTTTGTGAGTCTCATGCTCTGCCAGGGAGGAGGGGAAGCTGGGAGAAAGCAGAGACAGGACACCTGACCCAAACTAGCCAAAGAGGTATTCCATACCACAGCACATCCAGGATGTAACTGAGAGTTACCCGGAAGGGCAGCTCGTTTCAGCGGGTGTTATCGTATTCTCTTCCCTTGTTATTTCCTTTATCATTATTATTATTGGTGGCAGCAGTAGTGATTTGTGTTATACCTTAGTTACTAGACTGTTCCTATCTGAACTCATGGGAGTTACATTCTTTTGATTCTCCTCCCCATCCTTCCGGGGCGGGGTGGGGGGGGGGGGGGGGGGTGTGAGAAGGGAAGAAAGAGGAAGGGGGGGAGTGACTGAACAAGCTGCATGGCTGGGTTTAAACCACGACAGTTCTTTTTTGGCACCCAACACTGGGGACGAGGGGTTGAGATAATGACAGATCTGAAGGGAGTGTGTCTAATCGTATCTGTGATAAGAATTCATTGCTTCAGATTAATAGTCACTCATCATTATTGGCTCTCAAAGTTGTTTCTATTGATCTCACAGTTTCAGAACGTTGTACCTTACTTAGAGCCCCTATTTGCTGTATTAGTGTTTTTCAAGTGTGGGGCTTGGGCTAAGGTTCTTGTGTCACTGTGCTTTATGGCAATGACTTGTAATACGGTCAGGCTCCAGCAGCAGGGTGGGACGGACGTGGCCGTGGACTTGTACCTGGCCGTCCGGCTGCTCTTCACCGGCCTGGCCCTCGCCCTCGCCTCCGTCTTCGTGAGGCTGCGGGGAGCCGAGGGGGAGCGGCCCCGGGAGCCGGCGGCTGCCAAAGAGGCCTGGGAGAGCAGCCCCAGGGACCAAGCAGTGGTGAGAGCGGGACGGGAGGCCGGGAGGGTGCAGCTGCCGGTGGAGGAGGTCGGGGCAGTCGAGGAGTGGAAGAAGGCAGCTGCCGAGCAGCAGGAGGAGGCGGCGGAGGAGCCGAGCCCCGCAACGGCCAGGAGCATCCCCTGCCAGCCACCCACCGAGCTCCACGAGCTCGAGCCCCAGGAGGATGCAGGAGACCACGCAGCGTTTCCCAGCAAGGCAGAGGAGGAGGAGCTGGCCTCGGAAAACAGAAGCTGGTGGTGGGAGAGCCGGCAAGCACAGCAGCTACACCAGCCCCAGTGACAAGTGCAGCATCTGAGAGTTCTGAAGGTTTTGAATTGCCTTTGGGTACCCTTGGGACCTGCCTGCTGATTGTGATGGGGATCAGCATGTTGGCACACACACAGTGTGCTCTACCCACGGCCACTTTGTCTGATCTGAAAAGTTAAGCACACTCAAGTTTGGGTCTTGTCTAGGGTTAGACAATGATACAAGAGGACCAGGAGATTTTCCCCAAGGCTGGACAGCCATGAGTGGCAGGGTGGGCGGGACAGTATGGGCAAGTATCTAGTCCACTGGGCCCCTCCAGTGCTTTGGAAGTGTTGGAGATGGAAGGCAGCTGTATGGAGTCCCCAGCGACAAGCTGCAGAAACTGCTGAAGGGGAAAGTGAATTATCTTGAGCCTGGTGGGCCCATGGCAGTTCATGCCATCAGGGCACAGATGCAACATAGAGATGGACTCATGATCGAGGGGTGGACTTAACAATGGACACTATTGCCCAGGTTATTCACAAGTGTGAACACTGCACACAGCCTCTCCTGCCTCAAAAGACTGTTACAAGAGATGGAACCTCACATCATGGACCAGATGGACTCAGCAGCTTTATAGGGACTGGTCCATGCACTAAGATAAGAGTGCACTGAGATAAGAGTGATGGTATATTGAAAATGTGGGATCTGAGCATGACGTGAATGGTATGGAATAAGGGGTGGATGTTCTGTCCAGGGACAGATGATGAGCGAGTTGAGTCTGTGGGTGAGAATTAAGGGGCAGGCTGGCAGGGGCGATACTGTTGAGGGTGTCTGTTACAGACCACCAGATCAGGGTGAGGAAGTTGACGAGGCCTTCTACAGGCAGCTGAGAGCGGCCTCACAGTCACAGGCCGTGGTCGTCGTGGGGGATTTTAACTTCCCTGATGTTTGCTGGAAGGACCACTCAGCAACCCAGCCACAGTCCAGGAGGCTCCTCCAGTGTATGGATGATAACTTCCTCCTGCAAATGGTGTATGAGGAGCGCTGCTGGATCTCATCCTCACTAACAAGGAGGATCTGGTTGAAGCAGTAAGGGTTGAGGGCTGCCTTGGTTGCAGCGACCACGAGATGGTGGAGTTCAGGATCTTGTGTGGTAGGACTAGTAGAATAGCAAGTAGAATTGCAACCCTGGACTTTAGTAGGGCAAACTTTGGCCTTTTCAAGCAATTGCTAGGGGAAATCCCATGGGCAAGGCTGTTTGAAGGTAAAGGGGCCCAAGATAGTTGGTTGACATTCAAGGACTGCTTTTTCCGAGCTCAAGACCGGAGCATCCCAACACGCAGGAAGTCAAGGAAGAGGGCCAGGAGACCTGCGTGGCTAAACAGGGAATTGCTGGGTATGCTCAAGTGGAAGAGGAGAGTTTACAGGTCATGGAAGGAGGGGCTGGCCACCTGGGAGGAATATAAGGCTGCTGCTAGAGGATGTAGGAAGGCAGCTAGGAGGACTAAGGCATCCTTAGAATTAAACCTGGCAAGAAGGGTCAAGGACAGCAAAAAGAGCTTTTTCAAATACATGGCAGACAAAACTAACCCCAGAGGCAATGTAGGCCCACTGATGAACGGGATGGGTGCCCTGGTGACAGAAGATACAGAGATGGCAGAGTTACTGAATGCCTTCTTTGTCTCTGTCTACTCTGCTGCAGGCAGTCCTGAAGAGCCCTGTACCCCTGAGACCTTAGATGAAGTCAGGTCGACGGAGCGGTTTGCCTTAGTCGATGAGGAAGGGGTTAGAGATCAGCTGAGCAATCTGGACATCCATAAATCCAGGGGTCCAGATGGGATGCACCCGCGGGTGCTGAGGGAACTGGCGGAAGTCATTGCTAGACCACTCTCCATCATCTTTACCAAGTCTTGGGAAACAGGAGAGGTGCCTGAGGACTGGAGGAAAGCAAATGTCACTCCAGTCTTCAAAAAGGGCAAGAAGGAGGACCCGGGTAACTATAGACCGGTCAGCCTCACCTCCATCCCTGGGAAAGTGATGGAACACCTTATCCCTAGTGCCATCTTAAGGCATATCAAGGATAAGAGGGTTATGAGGGGCAGTCAACATGGCTTCACTAGGGGGAAATCATGTTTGACCAATCTCTTAGCCTTTTATGAGGAAATAACACGGTGGATGGATGATGGCAGAGCGGTGGATGTGGTCTACCTTGACTTCAGCAAAGCATTTGACACAGTCTCCCACAGCATCCTCACAGCTAAATTGAGGAAGTGTGGTCTGGATGATCAGGCAGTGAGGTGGACTGCGAACTGGCTGAAGGAGAGAAGCCAGAGAGTTGTAGCCTATGGGGCTGAGTCTAGTTGAAGGCCTGTAACTAGTGGAGTGCCTCAAGGGTCAGTACTGGGACCGGTATTATTTAATATACTCATCAACGATTTAGATGAGGGAATTGAGTGTACTATCAGCAAGTTTGCTGATGACACTAAGCTGGGAGGAGTGGCTGACACGCCAGAAGGCTGTGCTGCCATCCAGCGAGACCTGGACAGGCTGGAGAGTTGGGCAGGGAATAACTTGATGAAATATAACAAGGGAAAGTGTAGAGTCCTGCATCTGGGCAGGAACAACCCCAGGTTCCAGTATAGGTTGGGGAACGACCTGTTAGAGAGCAGTGTAGGGGAGAGGGACCTGGGGGTCCTAGTGGACGACAGGATGACCATGAGCCAACACTGTGCCCTTGTGGCTAAGAAGGCCAATGGCATCCTGGGGTGTATTAGAAGGGGGGTGGTTAGTAGGTCGAGAGAGGTCCTCCTTCCCCTCTACTCTGCCCTGGTGAGACCCCATCTGGAATATTGTGTCCAGTTCTGGGCCCCTCAGTTCAAGAAGGACAGGGAGCTGCTGGAGAGAGTCCAGCGAAGGGCAACAAAGATGATTAAGGGAGTGGAGCATCTCCCTTATGAGGAAAGACTGAGGGAGCTGGGTCTCTATAGTTTGGAGAAGAGGAGACTGAGGGGTGACCTTATTAGTGCCTATAAATATATAAAGGGGGATTGTCACGAGGATGGAGCCAGGCTCTACTCAGTGGCAAACAATGATAGGACAAGGGGTAATGGGTACAAACTGGAACACAAGAGGTTCCACTTAAACTTGAGAAGAAACTTCTTCTCAGTGAGGGTGACGGAACACTGGAACAGGCTGCCCAGGGAGGCTGTGGAGTCTCCTTCCCTGGAGACATTCAAAACCCGCCTGGACACATTCCTGTGTAACATTATCTAGGTGTTCCTGCTCCGGCAAGGGGATTGGACTAGATGATCTTTCGAGGTCCCTTCCAATCTCTAGCATACTGTGACACTGTGATACTGTAATGTCCTGGGTTCAGCAGTAGCAGTCAATTTTTCTCCTTCTTAGTAGCTGGTGCAGTGATTTGGTTTTGACTTTCGGCCTGGGAACAGCACTGATAACACCGATGTTTTTAGTTACTGCTTAAATGTTTACCCGACCAAGGACTTTGTGAGTCTCATGCTCTGCCAGGGAGGAGGGGAAGCCGGGAAGAAGCAGAGACAGGACACCTGACCCAAACTAGCCAAAGAGATATTCCATACCACAGCACATCATGCCCGGGATGTAACTGAGTTACCCGGAAGGGTACTCACTGCTTGGTCGGGCTTATTTCGGTGGGTGGTATCGTATTCTCTCCCCTTGTTATTTCCCTTATCATTATTATTATTGGTGGCAGCAGCAGTGGTTTGTGTCATTCCTTAGTTACTGAACTGTTCTTATCTCAACCCGTGGGAGTTACAGTCTTTCAGTTCTCCTCCCCATCCCTCTGGGATCAGGGTGGGGGGAGGAGGAAGGGAAGAAAGAGGAAGGGGGGGGGGAGTGGGTGAACGAGCTGCATGGCTGGGTTTAAACCACGCCAAGGGAACAAGTGAGGATAAATTTCAGACATAAAGGGGCAAAAATGCCAGAAAGGCTGTTAACACACTGGAATTGCCAAGTTTCCCCTTTTCCTCCATGTACCACAATGATCCAACGTGACTGCTTAATATGCAAAGTACTGCTGTCATACAGAGCAAGACAGGAAGAATGAGCAACTACTACATGGTAAAAATCACTTCCTGTTAACAGTTCAACTGCTTGGAACTCCTGACCAAATAATGGACTGTGAGAGACATACTGTTCAAAAGATGTCAGCTAGAAACAAAGTAGTAAAATTTGTTATCCTCAAAGAAGCCAACAAAAAAAAGTGAGATCAACAAAAAGCAGCCTAAATGTCCTGTGTAAGCAAGAACAGAAAAACAATTAAGTTTTATCAACAAATACAGACAGACGAGCAAACTGGAAGGATTTCTTTTCTGGCTCACTATGTTAAGAATATCAGAATGGCACTAAGCTGAAAGAAAGGTTTAACTGCAGAAAAATTTGATCTTTTACTGGGGGATGAAGGGAAACAATGGCATAAGTAAAATATTTCAAGCTGGAAAAAAAATTTGATCAAGATCTTCCAAACTTAGAAGGTTTAAAAATAAAACCAATTCTAGTTCGACTTGGATTTAAATCTGCTCAAGGCTCCTAGTTGTATTTCAAGAAAAAATGTGATCACAATGAGCAGTTCTGACATTTTTTACTCTCAAAAACTTGTTGATTTTGACTAGCTAGTAGCCTGCTCAAAACTTTTTATCTTATCTACATTACTGTTTATTGACTATGATTCCAGCATATTGTAAGTGAATGCACTGGGCCTGGGTTGCTGATTTCAGAAAGGGGTTGAGACAAGGAAGAAGTGGCATTTCAGTGAAGAGTAAAGTGAGCATTTTACCAAACATACCTGTTTCCTTTTGCATTATCCAGACTTTAAGCTCTACCAGGCTGTGAGCATAAAAGCATTTATCCTCTCGTAAGCAGCCATAATGGACCTCATGTCTGCACAGGTCAAGCTGACATCGAACTTGAAAAGGGCGGATTTTGGAATATTTCACCATAGTTTCACGCAGACTGTGGACAAGGCACCTGTTTTGGAAACAGTTCCCAGAAGGAAGGAGCATCTAATTATCATTTATTTCTAGGCTGAGTAAACCAGCATCACAAAACAGTACTCTTGTAAAATCTAGAAGTCTCTCTTCTGCAAAGCATTACTGAACTGCATCACTGGTTTCCAAGAGGGAAAGTGTATCATGTCCACTTTCAAGTGCATATCCTGAGCTACTTACAAAAAGCAAGTACTTATTCGTTTGTAGTGCACCATTAGAGAAAGAGCTGATGCATCACAGTAGCAGCCTAGCTCTTACAGCTGTAGTGTTTCCTCAATGTAGGGAAGTAGAAGACAAATAAAGGATTAAAAATGCTCCCACTTACATTTCCATCATATAAAAATGTAAGTCTATTAATTCTCCAAAACTTAATTAACACCACTGTCACTATGCCACTTTGCTAACTTTCACAGAATAATTATAAACACTTTTCTTACACTATTCTTTATCAACTGGGTTTATAAAGCCTACAGTCTATTTCAGACACTGCAATTAAGGCAAACCTGTTCTTAACCAGCTGAGTTAAAACTACAGCAAAATAAGCAATACAGACTGAACAAAGAGCAAACTTATGAATTCCTCCTGTATTAATTTACCATGACATATCTGTGTGTGACATCACACATCAATGCTCACTAGACAGAAAAGCTATTAGCAAACTGACACCAAAACAAATAAGATTCAAACATGAGGGTGGATACCACTATTTTTGAATGCGTTGATAAAGAAATAGTTCACTTTCAGTTTAGTTACATGAGACAATCCTTGTTCAGCAAGTTTGTCTTCACAATACCACCAAATCGTAACAGTTAACAAGGAAGAGAAGCTAATCAACAGGTTAAGAAGTGAAAATCGGTATTAAATAGAATGCCCCAAAACCTCTGCTTTTAATTTGAAACTTAGAGAGATGGGATTTCAGACATACTTGTTATCTTCAAAGTCATGCATAGCAGGGTGAGAACAAGAAGAGGAGTTATCCTTGTTCCTTTTGCTTATTATTCTTGGTTTGTGATCAAAACATTTCTGGAATACAAAAACCAGGTCATTATAGAGTATGTATTTTATATATTTTAAAATATACCTTACCTTAAAGATTTTAAGAGACTTCAATTACTTTCTAATCTAAAGATAGCCAGATTACTGAACATGCATTTCAAGATTTAAGAAACAGTCATGCATGAACCAAAGCATTTCTTTCCAAGTAATTTTCTTATCTATTATCATTTTTATTGTGTCATTAGAAATAAAGCAGCACCTCACAAAGAAACATAAATAATCCGTGATGTTCTTGAAGAAGTTGGGACACGGTCAAGTTGATCTTTCCATTTCCCCCAAAAAGAGACTCTCGACTGAAGGCTCCTTTGCGCTCCAGTGTCCACACATCGATCTCCTCTTGGCAATACGCAAATGTGCAATGACCTGGATATCTGCATTCCTCTTCAGCAGCAACATCTAGAATGGTAACATTGAATATGACATTGCCTTTACACAACTTTTATCTTATTTATCTTAAAACATCCACTATCTCAATTTCAAATGTTTTTAATAAAGAAGCTACATCCATTGTAAAAGGATCACGGAAGTCCTCTGACAGAAGAAAAACCTTACGCTGAAAGAAATTAGGAAGGCTGAAGCACAACTCCATCAACTATCCTTCTCTGGTCTAGGCAACCATGCTCAGAACTCCGAATACCTTTTGCTTAAACACAGCTGTTAATTCATGCAAGAGTTATCTTGCTTAGATCGTAAGTAGAGGCTCATACTGCAGAAGTCTAACAAGAATGCTCTTCTTTTTTTGTTGCTTTTTCTTTTAAGAATAATAGCCCAGCACTAGGAAGCAAAGTTATTCATGGAGAACAGTAGGGAAATACAGTGCATGTTCTCTAAATAATCCCATTAATGGTCAAAATATGGCTCTCTTTACAACCTTGGAAAATATAAACAACCCAGTGAACTTCCTTCTCTACCTCCCATGAGCAAGTACAAAAACTCACTCTGTACTTCACTGTGGAAAAGCTAAACTATGTTATTTTGAGTGCAGACATTACCATTTTGCTATATGTAACGCATACCTTTACATATATAATACGGTCCCACGTACTGTGTCTTTGTTGGTCTGGGACGTATTTTTTTCCATGATTTATCTTCAGAGTTTTTTATCCTGCCAATTAGAATATCCTTCTTACATTTATGTTCTAAACTGGGGTGGTAAGCGTAATCCAGTAATTTAGGACCTGAAACAACCACAGAAAATTGCTTATATTTGCATGTACTGCAACATACTTCTAGTATTTCCATACACAGGTTGGCACATAAGCCCAAAGCAAAATACACAAATACACTGAATAGAGTTCCTACTTGCACCAGCAACTCTGAAGAACCAAAAGTCATTAACAGCCATGTTGAACAGAATAGAAAAAGACTGAATACTTACAAAAGGACCAGTCTCAGCAAGGAAAAAAACAGCAGTTATGTGGGGAGGAATGATGTGTTACAACCTTAAGATTACTTTGGAACACCAACAAATTACCACTTTTTTCCAAATTCCAAAGTATACATTTACATAACACCAATTTAAAACTGAACTTGCTTATTTATAAGTTGTCAATGCAGATGAATACCAAGGATCAGTAAATGGCTCTCTTAACCTTCAGCTTTTATTGTATTAGAATAGTTACTATGTTTAGAGATAAAACACAGTAGGTAATGAGTATGCACATGCCAAAAATATAAATGCCAATACCAGAATTCTGTGATTTTGGAAACAAAAACACATCTAGCTTTAAATTCTGTCTTTAGGATGATACTACACTGAAGATTACATTACCACCAAAAAGAAGAAATAAGGGAGAGAGTCTTAAGACAAGCAATGCTCAGTGGATTTTGCTATTTAAGGGACTGCAAAACCAAGAATGTGACTGTTCCCCTAGACAAGACGCTGATGAAGAGTACAATTTCAAAAGTAGGTAGTAAAAGCAGGAGACACATAATGGCTTTGATAGAGATGCAATGAAACAGAAGAAACAGATGCTTTGATGCAAAAAGTGAAGTTAGGAACATGCTATGTGCTTCCGCAAGTATTTCACAGCACCTGCTTTTAGCAGAACGTAGGGGGGTTTTCAAATATCATTTCACAGATTATTCTTGTAAAAAAAAAAACCAAAAACGATATGCAAGTTCCTAAAACTACAGCAGTCATCCCCTATGGCTTGATACAATTCTTTACGATATACCAATATCGGTGACACCTATAACGTGAAGCAAGATGCTCATTTTTAAGATTTGTCTTAATAAAAGCTATTGTCTCTAGAATATGGCTCTATTTAACAGCAACAGCTCAGGCCTAAAAAGGATTAGTTATATTAAAGCCCAATATTGGTTAAGATACTTTCAGTCAATACAGTGGAGTTAATTATTACAAAGGTTTGGAAGCCTCAGATTATTATTTAGAATTAGTTTGAAAGAACAATAAAACAGATGGGATGTGAAGGTTACCAGGCACTTTGAACTGCAGTTCAATTCCCCATGGCCAATCAGAGAGAGTATTGCAAGTTTTTTTTAGTCTTGAGCAAAGGTGTCATTCTTCACAGTACCCTGGGGGCTGGGAGGAAAGCGAATACAGAGCGTGAATGACCTTACATACAGGTGGGTGAAAGCGTGTGGTGATTTGTGGTGTGCTTAGGAATCAAGAATCTATTAGGACAAGAAATAAAGACAAGAAGAAAGATAAAACAGTTGTTGAAACATTTTACCAGTTCCTTAACCATAAGATCATACTACATCTGCAAAGAACAAGTCAGGATTAACACTACTTAGAAGCCAACAGTATTTTAATTTAAGAACACTGAAGTTCTAAATGTATGCTTTTATATTTTTTAAAAATCAACCCAATTGAGTCCAAAAGCCCCTTACCTTTTTTGACAAAACATAACTGGCAGGCCTGTCTTAGCTCATGTGTGCCTTCTAGTGGGTTTCTTCCCGCAAGTGCTGAAGATACAGGTATATTAGCAGTTGCACTGCTAAAAACATTTGAAAAGTCATTTCTAGTTTGGCCTGCAATTCCCATGTAATTTTCAGACCCAAACAAACTACTAGGGCCATTTATCTGTTGGAAGAAAGCATATTTTACTTATCCATATAGTTTCTCTACAACTAAAATTTAACCTACTGAATTATTCTTTAAAGCATATGAAAGACTACACACACACAAAAAAAAAAAAACAAACCAAAACAACAAATCAAAATACAAATTTAGCCACAGGTCTAAGAAGGGGACACAGATTTTACAAAAGCCATATACCCAGCAAAGACTAAGCACATAACAAGATCCAACCAGGCACAGGGAAAAGAACAGGCTAATTATTACTACACCGTGGCTCACAAGGATGCAATCCTTCAAGCACCCTTCCCCACATAATCAATGGCCAGCATCATGATTGAAAATATACAGCATGACTAGAACACAGAGACCAGATGGATTCTCAGACACAAGGTGATCTTTGCTCTGCTCCTGTACTAGGACAGTTCTCCAGTATTCCTAGTCTTTGGCACTTGGATCATAAGAGATTTCCTCTCTCTTAGGTTGGTTATTTTTACACTTCCACAGTCTTTTACAAGTTCCTCAGAATGGAAAAGTGGCTATGACAGTAGTCAAGGTTTGCATTTATAGAACAAGCTTTGTAGATTTTCTCATGTGCTCAGTTACTGCTACTGTACAACTGTCTTTCAGCCAGAATCACATTTTAATGGTACAAGTGCCATATTTTTTAAAATAAAAACTTCTACTGTGAAAACTATGATCTTAGTTTAAGCCTTCAAAATGTTAACATTTGAACTGATGTGAAAGAAAACACAGAAAACACTTACAAACAATGGGGAATTATTGCTACTAAGTGTTGGTGTTCCATCTCTAGAAGCTGAACTTGAGAGGTCTAAAGGAACACAAAGAATTTTTAATTATTTCAGTTCACAAAATATCCTATGCAAAAAATTATTTATCATTCCTGAGAAGTAAAAGTATCAAAGGGTTGGTCTTCTGACAAACACCAAGGGGGCTTCTTTCTTTGCCATGACTATGTTTTGTATTCTGTAAAAGCCCATTTTAAACACCTAGGCTAAAAACTTAGATGACTACCTAGTAACTACCTGATTAACATCAACAGTAGCTTCACAGGCATGTGCTGACTCAACATGAAGCTGTCTGTGCAGTACAAGAAGGGTAGATAGATAAGGAATATCTGCCTATCAAAACTGAGATGAAAGACAGGTAAAAGGATTGTTCTATTTTTAGTTTTATTTTGTGAATTTGGCTTTGTTCTAAGGACAGCACAGTCCTGTAAGACTAGTAATTAGAGACAGAACTTCATTTTATCTTTTCTAGTTCACTGACTGTTTGTATCTTGTTATTTCACTACATAGTAACAGTCCCCAGAGTTTGAAATCAAACATGGATTACTGGTAACTTTTCAGAGCATGCAGTTTTATTAGTCTTTTAGAATTCTTGTTTATTGCTAAATCATAAGAAATGTTTTAAGCTGTAAGAACACCTTTGTTTAAAGAAAAAAAAAGTTTGAAAGAACATGGTTCCTTCTTCCTACTTATACATGAAACAAATGACTTGCACAATAAATGCAGTAAAAACTGAACAGAGGGAGCTTGGAGTATGCTTATGCAGGCCCCAAGTAAACAAAAGCTTTATTTATAAATTCTTGTGTACAACCAATGTTGATTATCAATACTCTCAAAAATTGTGAGCATAGATCAGATGTTATTTAAGTGTTAAATAATAGTGAATAGTTGTGAAAACTCATTTAAAAGAAGCCAGTTGGCTCATGCACAGCTCTCATCATAACAGGTTAAATATTGAGACTTATTTCTTACCTCTTTTTGGGTCACTGATTGAAAAGGTGCTTAATGGTGAGCAAAAACTTTCCAGTGAAGAAGCCAAAGGCTGTGAAAAGATTTCTGAAAGAGAAGGTGAAGGAACAAATCCTGCACTAACTGGTAGCGTCCCCAACAAGGAGGCAGAGAAAGGTACAGTAGGAGCCACGCTTCCTGTGGGAATTGGTCCTCTGACTCCCGCAGTTTGCTGGGGGAAAAAAAAAAAAGGAATTTAAAGAAAATGTTCACACAGAAAAAAAAAAAATCTCAAGAACATAATCTGCAATAGCATTTCTTTTAGTAACATTAATGCAAAGCTTTTATAAACCTACTGAAAAGCAATAATAAAAGGCACACTACAGTACTGCAGTACTGAACAGAGCTACAGTGCACTTAGGGGACTATGGTGATCAAACCCTAAACCTGTCCTAATGCAAGGAATTACCCAGAAATCAACTGCTTCAGTGGCTCAGTTAGCTGAAGTTTATTAACTTACTAGGTTCTAGATTTATTCATGAACCAGATCAGAGCTAAATTTCCAAATTATCTTAAAAAAATAAGACAAGAGGGAAGAGTAGGAAGAGTCAGTAATCAACATGATTTTTTTTCTAAATAAAGAGGATTCAAATTGCAGTACAGTAGAGTTAGCTTTGAAATAAAAGCTCAGAAACAATAAAATGATACTATACTCTGCAAAGGGTCTCCCATCCACCCCTGAAAAAGAACCTATCCTTCTGTATACCTCTGCTAAGGACATAACCAAGTAGGGGAGTTTTCCTTCTCTCTATCATCCCAATAGGCTTCCTTCTTGTCTGGAGGTTGAACAAATACATCTGCACAGGGTCTGGCCAATGTGAAATTCCCTATGTCCCCCAAGTTGTTAGCCTACAACTCATTCAAGATTCTACACTACACAGGACTGCAGTCAATCTTGGAAGATTGTACTGCTTCCTGGTTTTCACTACAGCAGACTTCCTAGGCTTTATTAAAAGTAATTAATTGCTACATTTCCAAAATACTTTCTACAAAACAAAGTGCATAAAACAGAAAATTAGAAGTCCAAGCATTTTTTATTTTAAGATTTCCAACTGCATCCACATCTGAATGAAGAATTGAAATCACAACTAACTGAAGAATTAAATATGCCACAGCGTCATTCAACATTGCATACTAATACTAACGTCTCCAAATGACCGATAGGGCCACAGCAGACAGACAGTAACCTTGCTCATAAGGTCAGACATCTCTGCTCATCAATCAGAGCCCTCATTTTGACTAATAGTTGAGGAACTCTGTATGCTTCACAGTCTGTTCTAGCTCTGGAATGGTGGTGTAATTAAGAACAACTCTTCATGTGCCTAAATTAATAATCTCTTCTAAAAAGTATTAAAAATTAGACTCATGATGTTATAACTATTCCTGGTTATCCAGGAGCTGGATCTGGACAACGCTCCAATTGCAGAGACACTAATGAACGCAATAGAAGACCACAGCGCAAGTACTACTGTCCTGCAAAGCTAATAGCATGTTTAACTACAGTTTCTACTCCTACAGGGTCAGCACTCCAACAACTCTCAGGTTCTGAGAGGGTTTATTTCACCAAAAATACTCTGACAGAAGAAAACAAAAACACCTCCCAAAAAAACCAACATACTAGCCTGGACTTCAAGTATCTATGTCACTCTTTCCCGGAAGTAGTATCCCTCCCACTGTGGTAGTACTGGTAGTAGTGTAGCAGTATTTCCGAAGTAGTGTCCCTCCCCCAGCAATCTCACTCATGTTTTCCATCACACAAAAGCAATGTAATTGTCCCTGGAGCTCTGCTGGGCCCTGGTATGTCTACAGCCACGTTTGCAAGACTCTGCACCTGAGAAAATCATAACCAAAAAAGGTAACTCACATTTCACTGTTAGCCCACTTGATAAAAATACAAGACCCTGCTCACAAGGACAGTCTTTTGAGAATGAAAACAAACAAAAAAGTCTTACCATTACACTTTCATCTGGATCAGGCACAGAATCAAGTAATTCATCAAGTTCTTCCCCAATAATTATATCTCCATCTCCATAATCTAAACATGGTTCTGACATAGAGAAAGAAACATTTCCTCCATTTGCCAGCACTGCAGATGGCAAGGAAACCTTTTCCACTTGAAGAGGCATAATAGAAGGTAAAGATGGTACAGGTGCTGAAGACACTTTAGACACTTCAAAGTTTGTTGAACAAGTAGCAGAAACTATCTCTTGCTTCTGGTCAGATAAATCTGAAACAGTTAAGATGGAAATGACTGGAACTTTCGTTCAAAGATGTAAAAATACCTTGGATAACTTCTACCCTGAGGGGTGAGGGAGTGGAGAAACATGAAGAATGTTTAAGCAAAGCCACATTAAATATTGCTAACTTCTATTAACTTCCAGTTCATGAGTACCTGTATCTCAAGTGTTTATATATTACTCAAACTAAAAAAGAGGAAAAGTTACAGACCTGATACTCCACTAAATCTCTGGCATACTCTCCCCTTCCTGTTTTTCCAACTTAAAGAGAACAGTATGAGACAAATGCTATAGGAGCAGTTACAATCATATCAAGTTGAAGAGACTGAAAGGAAATTTGCTTAGGCACTTAAATATGTAGTTTTAGAGATAAACAGATCAGAGTTTTTACCACAGATCTTTCAAATGACAAGATTAATTTTCTCAACAGATACATATGTGTATGGCACAAATAGCTTCCTAGGTTGTAACACAAGACTTACCTAACTCAATATCTTCTACAGAAGAATTCTGTAAGTGAGGAAAAAAAAAAATACCTCTCAGCACTTTTCATAAGAGCAATTAAAAATCTTCAAATAAATATTCAGATTAAGAACGTAAATCCTCACACCTGGATTTCATAAATCTTGAATTCGTGAAGTACAACAAAATTTAGATAATTTCTTTAGATAAAGCATCTATTTGCAGACTGAAATCAACTCTCACAGGGTCACTAAAAATCTGCAACCAACCACTCCAAGGAATAAAAAAAGTCTAAACAGGACCTTAAATGAGCTGTTCCTATATTTCCTCATTCATTTACAGCTAAATTGTCTATGCTCCCATGAAAAAGGTCTGTAAGATGAGCTCCTCTTCATTACTGCTGCTCAGACACAGTACAAACAGCAAGATAAATGCAAGTTCATCTGCTAATAAAGGTTGTATTTGGACAAATGCATAAATCAAAAGGGATTTAATGGCAGTATGCTTCACTTTAATAACTGTCAACGAAGTGAAATAAGTAAATAAATCAGCATATTAACTATGCCCTTGCCTCAAGGCATTAGAAGTAAATATATTCATTGCACTGGATTTAATGATTTAGCTAACATTTATTCTAAAAAGCTAACTTGCATCCTGGTCTGCCTTACATACACAGCAAAACTGAGCACAAAGATTAACAGAACCCTAAAGACCAAATTAACAGCATCTTACATAAAATGTCAGTTGCACCATTTTCACTTCATCATCGTGAAATTATGAAATGATTATTCCCAGCACTATAAAGTCAGCTTGCACTTTGAGCATGTAAAGCCTTACCTGAGTTGATACATCGCTAGAAATTGAACTGGAGGAGGGTGGCTGCAATGAGAAGATGCCTTCATTAAATACAAAGTGGTTATTAAGACAGGGAAACCTCAATGTTAAAATAAAAATCTTACCTTTGCTCTTACATATGCTTTCCTTATTTTTAACCCTAGTTTTTGAGCTAGTTCCTGGGTAAGCTTAATCACACTTTCATCCTAAAAGACATAAATAAAGTTTCATAATTTACATGTATTGTCATCTAGTCAAGATATCCGTTTACATCTCAGTCTGTATTCTGCAATATTCCTACATGCAGGATGTCTCTTAAGGCAGCTTTATTTTTTCCACAAACGTATGCAAGCTAATGCTGAAAAATACTACTACCTTCAAGCAAAACTTCCAAAATATCTGGAATTAAAGGAAGGAAAAAAAAAGCCAGAAAATAGACATAACCCTCCTCTTCCATTTAACTGATTTTAAAATAATGTAAAGATTTTTCCAAAACCAGAGAAATGGGATTTTTTGTGGGTGGCTATTTTTTGTTTGGTCATTTGGGGAGGATGTTTGTTCTTTGAGTGGATGGGGGGGTTGTTTTGTTTTTATACAAATTGAGAGCCACATTTCTGATTACCATAATGTCAGCTACTACATAACACTATTGAATATGTAATGGCAACTCCGTATGTTGGCAGTAATTGCATCATACAATTAGAAAGGTTGAGTTAAAAGCCTGTTCATATTTCACTCTGTCCTAATAGTTATAATAATGATTCAGTTAAATGATTTTAAGATTTAGCTTCCAGAGTGTGTCCTACAGCTAGGAAAGGCTATTTATAAAACTTATATTAAGGCAGATTAACTTGAAGTGAAAACATTCAGATCTAGAGGTGCAAAGTGAAAATCCAAAGTCCAATATTACATATTCTGATAAACCACTTATGTCTTTGGAAACACAACTGAAACCCACTCTAAATCAAGAGGTTAACCTATGCTCAACAGTTTGTCTAGCTGTAATTTTGATATAATATTCTGCTCTGGGATCAGTCTGTTTTAAGCAAGGTATGTAAAGTTTTCATCAGCATTTTAGTTCAAATCTGAAATGCATTTCTGAAGTGAGATATCTGTATCCTCCTTACTCACTGCATTTTAGTTTGCATTACAAAGGTCTCAGAGATCCAAATTAGATTAATTTTGGATGAAATTAAATTGAAGGTGCTGTAGGAGTGTTCTTGAAAAAAAACAAAACCAAACCAAAAACCCCCCAGAAATGAAACCAAAACCAAAACCTACACCAGAAAAAAACTGAACAAAATCACCATGAACAACCATGGGATCCTCAGGACCAGCATTTCATTTACAGATCCTCTCCTATTACACCATACGCTGCTTGCTAATATAGATATAGCCTACGAGTAGAGGTGCATAACAAGCTATTCAGAAGAGGACAGTGCACAGGTAAGAATATTACTAGATGCTTGGACACCTAAACTACAGTTTTGAAAAAAATCAATATTGTACATTATGAGGGGTTGTTCTCTTTATGTTGTAAGTACACCTCTGACCGTAGAGAATTTGAAACTACTAATTCAGTTCCAGTGTTTATTTCAAAAGTTTTTTGGCACTTGATCCCCACTGCAAAGTCACTATTTCTTTTGCTGAAAGTTAACATAACAAACTGAGCTTGGGGATGATAATCTCTGCTACCAGTCTTCACTTCCATAACAAGAAATAATTCTTAGAAGAATAAAAAGTACTGCATTAAAAAAAAAAAAAAGAGAAAAACCTTCAATGGCCTTGATGTAAGTATTTGTTTTCTGTATTAAATATTTAAAAACGATCATCAATATATAATTTACCTACCTGTGGCACAGCAAGAGAACATTTTGCGACAGCATCATAAGCCTTCTTGTACCTTCCCAGTTCATTCAAAGCTTTTGCTTTCCTATAGAGAGCTCTGAAATTATTTTCATTCAATCTTAATGCTATTTCACAGTCTTCTAGAACTTTTTCATGCAATCCCTATGTGGGGGGGGGAAAAAAAGTAATAAGGCATTAATCAGAACTTTATCATCAAAACACCAAATTGAAACTATTACATAAAGGTACTGAAACACTATAAAATATGCAGCAAGGCCACTCACACTGCATGTGTAAGTTTTGCTAAGCCAACAACTTACGCAATTAAAAACAAGCAGGGATGTCATTCATGTAAAATCCAGTGACATTTATGAAGACAATTCAGCTCTTTCATAAGAGCCATCTTATTCCACAGAGAAAGCAGTAGACTCAGGTGCAATCAGTAGTATAAATGGATAAAAACATTGGTCCACCAACTTCCAAGCCTAGTATGACTCCTTTATATTAATATTTTAGTATTAGTAACCAAAAATATCTCAAGGATTATACTTGTAAAAGGAAGATACTAAAGAATATGGCAAAATGATGATTTGAAACATGCCAGTTCTCAACCCAACACCAAAAGCTTTCCATTGACTAGGAAACTTCCTATGTCTTCACACTCTGTTAGCACACTGTTCTACAGAAATCATACAGTTTAAACAGAAGCTTACCATATTTGAAAAACATGCTATCCTGTTTACGTGCAGCTTCTCCAAAATATCATCAGAAACATGGATTTCTTCAGAATTAGCATAATCAGCTATGTTTATAGCTTCTGTATAGTGACTCAGTGATCCTCTCCAATCACCTTCTCGATATACATCATTCCCCTCATTAAAAAGATTTCTAACAAGCCCTCGTATAAATAACTGGAACAAAGAAAAGAAACGCCCATCAGCAGCAGTTTTGTTGTTTATCTTCCATGTTTCCAAACACATTTTTGAACAGAAAATTTATACTGGTGGCTTCAGGGAATCAAAATGAAATGCCAAACTTCTGTCTGTATTAGTATTTTAATTTTGACATTTGTCCAAGATAATTTCTAACATTCAACACCCCAATACAAGCAAATAAGAGAGCAGCTGAACTACTGATAACAGAATTACTTTGTATAATTAACTTAAGAAAAAACATATCTGTTCCATACATTCTTTTAGCAAGTAGCAGCCATAGCAACTGGCGGAGCACTACCATATAAAGGTTGCAAATTAAATGCTTTTCTTAATGTAAAATGTGAAAGATTGCATTTTTATCTAATATGTTCTCAAATCCAATGATTCACCTACCATTGAATAAAAATGCTAAGAAGATGAGTCTGAGCATATAAGTGAAAAATTATGCAAAATAACAACATGAACAGAAACAAAATATGCTTTTAAGATTTATGTGACTGAGGTCCTTTTATCTCACTTTTGCTCTGCTACCCTAAATTTTTCTCAGAATAGCATATTGCTTTATCCAACGAATGCCCCAAATTCATCTCTAACATCAACAGAGGAAGAGTTAATTTGAACTGTTACAGAAGTGAATTATAGGCATCAAATATCTGAACACTTCTATCACAATGTAAGTAGTCCTCCTGTTCCAATATCAAGACACTGTAATTTACCATTCATACTATATCATTACTTAAATGATTAAAACCAAGAACAAATAAGATAAGCCCACATTAAAAACTCTTCTGGAAACGCAAAAGTAATTTCATTACCTCATATTGTTCTTGTGTCCCCGGATAAGGCAAAGTAGATCTAGAAAAAAAGAAATTACAGAGTGTTACATACATTTCTTAAAAGACAATCACATTGGAGAATACTGGTTCTTACTAAAAACAACTTCCATCTTCTGCAACAGGCAAATCTTTCAATACTGTCTACTACCTGTCCTGAAAAAGGGGAGAGTGCTGTAGATTAGTTTTGATTAAAGAACTGTGTTTTCTTATTACTGATAACTTATTTTCATTTAAAGTTACATAGCCAGCCTTAACTCTGCTGTTCAAAATGTATTACGGTTTTGAATGCTTTAAAACCTCAATTTAAAAACTATTTCTCCCCTCCACTGTAGAGAAACAGATTACACATGAGGAGAACTGCAGTCTTCGTGTAAGTATTTTCAAGTGACAGATTATCTGTCAAAAGAACACATCAATTTTAATTAAGCCATACCAGTGATACTACAGGAATTTTAAGAGTTCTTTTGTAGGACAAAAGAGAGATTTTCTCTAGCACTGAACAGAGATATTTACTTCTAACTTTTTAGGAAGAAAAACAGGAACCCTTTACCTTACCATATCTGAGAATCTGTTTCAAAACGATTTGTAAAAGGGCAGGTTTCTTTTTCCTTGGATTTTCTTGTTGGTTTGGATTTATTTATTTTTTTTTTTAAGAATGCCTTACATGAGCAGTGAATTAGTGTGAAACTTTGCAACGACTTTAAGCTATCCTGGACCGTTTTGAGAAGAATCTGGCATAGACACAAATGAAAATTAGCTATTAAGATTGTTTTTCATTAGGTTAACTTTTAGCTCCAGTGTTGAAACATTTAGGTAGTTGTGAAAAACCCATCCCCTTCAGTAGCAACCTAGTCTTATGTGTAGCTGTCCAGAAGTATAAGGTGGATTTTTAGGCTATCAGCATTTTCCACCCACCAGAAGAACTCAGTGCTGGTATTTCTCAAAGGCAGACAAGGAATGCCCTCCCACTTTCAATCTGCTCTCTTTTAGAACAACTAGGATTTCTGTCTTTTCTTCAAGACTGCTCCCCATTTCTGTATTAGTGTTAGCAAATATTCTGAGGAGAAACACAGGTCCTCCTCTTTCTCCTTCCTCCACTGGTAACACATTAAAAGGACTTTCCCAGAGTTATCCATCACATATATATACACATGTATAAGCATAAAAGAATAAAAACACAAAATCATACTCTATAAATTGGAGTCCCTTCTTAATGTCCTGTTGCCTAGTGCTTCTCTCTTCCGACACATTGGACATGTTATCCTGAACATCCACTTTTCGGATATGACACTCCTCAAAAAGGAAGAAAGATAAATGGCTGTTAATATACAGCAGTTTGCATTTGGACCAGAAAGATCCAACCTCACATCAACACTAAGTCCATCATGCAAAACTTGGCAAAAGTACTGAACAGCAACATAGGTAGAAGCCCCAGGTCAGAACCAACACCTCCTCTGTCAGTGCCCAGTTACTCAACACTTCTACAGAAAACATTTATTCCAATTTCTACTTTATCTTTAGGTTTCCACTTATTTACTTTCGATGATGCAGAGTCACATTAGTGAAACTGAACCACATTACAAATGCAGACTGCATGGATTACTGCTAAACCAACCTAAGGTTCCCTATTGTCCCCTTTTTAATAGCTTTATACTTACTTTGTTTGCTGAAGTAGAAATAAACTCAAGAACCCGGTATGTTTATTAATAAAATCTGAAGAAAACTACCAGTCTCATTCTAGAGTCTCTCATCATCACCCAACCACTAAGGTGTAACCAGAAGCAAAACACTACTGCTTTAATAATGTCTACCAATTGCTGGTAGTTTCCAACCTTGGAAACTACCAGCAGCCAAGGCTACCTACTTCATTTGAAAAAATGATCAGCCTGACATTTCCATCCAATTTAAGTAGCCTGAATCAGTGGTTTTATTTTTTTTTTCCCTTCATGTCTTTCACTTACTGGACTTAAAAATACTCAGGGTAAACAGGCTAAACCCATCTATATAACCTTCAAGATAATGCTGTTAAGTCTGGTTTCACAGCTGCACAGTTTTGACTAATTGCAATGTAAGAGCACAACTTTTTTACGAGAAAGATCAGTAAGACAAAGTTTTCTTCTAAAAACACTGAAATTTAGAAATAGGCTTTTAGCTTAAGAAAATACATTTTTTTCTGAAAATTACTTTTTGTAGGAATTTACAGTTGGCTTTCTTTTAAAAAAAAAAAGAAAAAATTACATGCAGTACATTCCTGTCAGTCTAAAAATAGCCAGTATTTTTTTGTGCCAGGTTACAGTTTCACATCAATGATGGAAGAATGAAAACAAAGTAAACCAAAACCAAAATAACCCCCAGCAAACTCAACAAAATCCCAACTGAGAACAGAAACTGGTTGGAGAAGATACCCTGCTTTCTCCAAATGACCTGGAATAATGAAACAATCTGATGAGCTTTCAGATCTAATATTTGCAAACCTTTCCAAAATACCTTAAACAATCATAAGAAGCCTACACCATTTAAAGTGACAGAGTTAGTCCTACTGTAGCACATTCCTAAAACGGGCATTAGAAACCGAGTAATTTTCCTCAGGTCACTAGGCAAATTAATGGAAGTACTCCAAGGTCCCCATTTCACCTCACTTCTTACCAAGACATCTAGTATCAGCAAGTTTTGAAAAAGTAAAATCAGTCTGTAGATAAAGAAATCAGTCTGCATCATGGGCAGCTACAATAGCTCACTACCAGGAATTGTTCAGATACTGCTTGTTTAGGTATATAAACAGCAGTCGCTAACCTATTCTCCAAAAGGAAATAGCCATGAACACCTTTTGTAAATGTTTTTCAGTTCCACAAGTTAGTAATACATACTGTGCTTTTGGCATACATATGAAAGACTTATAAATGTTTTAATGTGTAACAACAGCATATCTATGAAGAAATCTGAATATAAATGGCAAATCTATTTGGTATCCGAGTATTTTTTATTTACATGTTCATGATTCACATTTTAAGAATTCAAAGAATAAGAAATTTTCATACTAGCCAAAGACACCAGCAATATCAGCATATGCTTTCCCATCAAAATAGCAAGCTATGTAAAACATGCTTTAGTCCCCTGAATTAAAAACTGACAAAGTAATACCTTGCCAACACAAGAGTCTTGCATGCATAAAGATTTGGGCAAGTGTTAAGATCAGGTTTATTGATTTTAAGCAAGCCCAATACTCCACACCAACAACCTGAAAACAGATGCAAAACATCCAACACAGTAACAACTATATTTGTCACCTCTAGTATAAATATTAAGGAATAAATGATATATTGAAACTTGAGGATTTGCAGATCCTATTTCTCCATAACAATGAAGTTAATGGAAACATTACAGACTGGCATCACAGATAAAAGAATAACTAGCAAGTGATGAACATATGCGAGTGGTGTAATTTATTACTCAAAGCAGTTTTCTATTTTTTTCCTACTTACTCATTTGCACCCATAAAATGTTCAGGCAAAAATTATCTTTCCTTAACATACTCTGACAGTCACATTGCCCAAACATTTGATGATTTTTTCAGAGATTATTTTTTTCAGATAGCACCTCTAACAGCATCTCTCCCATCCAAATTATCCTTAGATCCTCTTCAGCAACCAGGAACACATTAAACTCAGTTATTATACAAGGCAGACAATCACATCGTGATTTTTAATGCCATTCACTTTTAAAGTGTAAAAAGACCCACCTATTTAGCAACAGCTTTTCTCCTCCATCTGCAGGGGCAGAATTTAAAACAAATATACATATGTGCATACATTTAAAAAGTTAGAATTTTGCTTTGATGCTTGTAATAATTACTAGAAGAGCAAAACCTATACTGTTGTTTCACTCTCTGCAATTCACTGAAAGAGGGAATGGGAAAGAAAGGGAAAGGAAATAGTATGGGATCTGAAAAAGTAAAAAAGCAGACTAATGTGTCAGTAATTAAGGGCATGGGCAGAACTGACTGTTGCACTCCTGAGGCATTCAAAGTAAGTTTTAAAGGACATGCACAATATTTAGAATATGCCTAGCACCATCTTTCAGGCAGAAGGGCTTTGAACACAACAACTGCTAGATTATCTTGCAAAGTAGAACAGATCTTTGGAATACAAGTCAATAAATTCATACAGAATAGAGATAATTCAGTTTTTCCATAGAATGAATACAGGCCTTGGTTATTCTGAAAAGGAAGGTCACACTCCTTAAAACTTTGGCCTAGTCTTTCCATTTCTGAATTCCAAATCCAGGCAGCAAGTATTTTCAGTCTGCCAGGCACACAAGTTCCCTCAACTGAAAACTCAGTCCCAAAGGACAGGGAACTGGGCAGGACTGATCCTTTCTTCTGCTGCATACAGTTGTGCAGACAGCTTATGTAGAGATGAATGGAGAATAGAGGAAAATGTCTTAATATTATCTGGGGATGAGAACTACTAGCACTGGGAATTACTGAGCTTCATCTGACCAAGTAATTCTGTTATTGCTCGTTACTGACATTAATGGCTTCAGCTATTATAAATACTTCAAATAAGCATTCTTTGCACCTTCAGGCTTAAATGCGGCAAACAACTATATGTCAGTGGTCCTTGCTACACTTCCTTCTCCACAGAACCAAAACTTAAAAACTAAGTGCAGTGTGTACACACATTCGTTTAAGATACAGAGGCATATCCCCTTGCCATACATCACTGAGGTCGCTATTAATACGATTACTGAGTTACAGGAATCTCAAATTAGATCTTGAACAGTACAAAGCAACATTGAAAATGTTATGATTGCTGCTGATAGATCTCTGCCAGCCTCAGCGATTCAGCTGAATTATGAACCTTGGGGCTGGTATGAGTCTAGTGAAGATCACAGTGAGCACAGAGATCCCTTATGTATTCTAGCATCAGCCTTCTCCCCCTCTTCATGACAGTCAGGAGAGAAGGCAACAAGCTCAAAATATTGTATCAATTCTGTCAAAAATTAACCCACCATCTACAGCATCATATGTCAAAACTTTGACCAGCAATCAGAAATTGTGAATCCAGATGCCTGTCTGTAAAATGAAAACACAAACAGTTCACCAATGTTTCCACATAGCAAAACGGTACCCCAGAAAGAGACATTACACCCTGGGTGCTAGAATAATGGGAATACTGCAAAGCAAGCAGGGAAGACTGAAACAGAACAGGAGTGAATATAAAAAGCAAACAGTATAAAACCTTTCTGCCTACATGAAATGAAATGAAAGCTCACCTGTCCTGGGTTCAGCTGTAACAGTTATTTTTTCTCCTTCTTAGTAGCTGGTGCAGTGCTGTTTTTGACTTTAGCCTGAGATAACACCCCAGTGTTTTTACCTGTTGCTAAGTAATGTTTACTCTGATCAGGGACTTTTCAGTCTCATGCTTTGAAAGTGAGGAGGGGCACGGGAAGCCAGGAGGAAGCAGACAGGGCATCTGACCCAAACTAGCCAAAGCGGTATTCCATACCACAGCACGTCGTGCCTAGTATATAAACTGTGAGGAGTCACCCGGAAGGCCCAGATCGCTGCTCGGGTCGGGTGAGTATCGGTCAGCGGGTGGTGAGCAATTGCACTGGGCATCACTTGTGTTTATTGTTTTCTTTTCCCTGTCCCCTTTTATATTATCTCCCTTTGTTATTTCCCTTATCATTATTATTATTATTGGTGGCAGCACCCGTGATTTGTGTTATGCCTTAGTTACTGGACTGTTCTTATCTCAACCCGTGGGAGTTACATTCTTTCGATTCTCCTCCCCATTCCCCCAGGAGCGGTGGGAGGAAGGGGGGGAGTGAGCCAGCGGCTGCGTAGTGCCGAGTTACCGGCAGAGCTTAAACCACGACACCATCTCTGCTGCTATCTCCTGCTCTTGTAAGAGCAGCAACAAGCATAATGTGCTCAGGTAGCTGGATCCAAACAGTTCTCCGTATACGTATGGTTCCCACCCAGGGGCACAGGACAGCAGACCCTGACCTCAGCAGAGACAAGTGAGAACAGGAGACGGTGCCCGTGCATCCCAACTGCTTCCTAAAGAGGAGTCACTGACCAAACCAGCTCCAGCCCAGCCAAGAATCAAACTGGACATCAAGCACCTACCTAACACAGAACAAGCCTGACCTAGGCAGGTATCTCAAAGCAGTTTTATTGCCCACCCTAACCTCCCCGACAGTTTAAGTGAATAATTGCAGATAATAAACTACAGTGCAAATTATACCGTGCTTTACAGAGACTGTAAACTGCTCAACAAGACTTGGACTGGCATCAAGATGAGGAAGGGAAAATAGAAATCTTAATACAAAGCCTTTTTAGAAATATCTCCCTCAGAGAGCAAAACCACAAAACATTCCATGTGCCCGCTCGTGCATCACTGGGCCATTACATGAGGCATTTCAAACATGCAACACGCTTTGGGAAACAGGGAAAGCAGCACATGACACATGTTTCAACCGTTTTAATTCTGCTTAATCTAACACTTCTGGACACAAACACAAATTCTGTCAGCTGAAATAAATCACTTAACACAGACATAACTCGGTTTCGGTTCTTATTTTTGTAAACAGAAACAAGCTTGACTGCTGTCAAAATTAAACACCTAAATAAAACAAATGAAACCGAATACACAGCAACAGTTTAACAACTCTTCATATCACCTTCTTTATCTTAACTGTTTAGTTGCATCTCCTCCCACCTGTTCCCTACCCACAAAATAATGAGATACTGTTCAAGGTTTGCTTTCTATTTTCATAGCTTTCCGACATTTATTTATTTTTTTTTTTAATCCTTGAAAGAAACAGGAGAGAACAAAGACACTCTATGAAGTAGCTTCATTCCCTAGCAAGTTAAGGAGGGTGGAAGACTCTGGTTTAGAGTTCCCTTGGACATTTCATTTACAACAGACCCACAATTTGAGCAGAATGAGCGTCGTAACAATAAATCCAGATTTATCAACAGAATTTACACCAGGATAAGCTCTGGTAATCGACTTTGATGACTGTAATTGACAGTCTTGGGTTTTTTTGTTTGGTTTTTACTTCCCGCAATACAGTTATGACTGTTGCAACAACATCAGCGCTGCCTCACCGGGAACACTGTTTAACACGCAACAGCAACGGAAAACGGCGTTGCTTTTCCCCTCAGCCATACGAACGCGAGCACAAATAACAGCGCCCACAGAACTACGGAAGAACTCGTCCCGGCCGAAGCGGCCGCGGCGGCTGCCCGGCAGGACGCGGGGAAGGGCCGGACACCGTCCCGCTGCGGGCCGCTGTCAGCGCTTCGCTCTTCACTTTCCCCGCCAAGCACCAGGGCTCGTTCCTGTCCCAGCGCAACAGGCGAATTCTTAAACCACCCGCTTTCCTGCGGAGTGGCCGCCGCCAGCCCGCCGGGCCCGGCCCCCGCCAGCGAACCGTGACCCCTCAGCGCCGCCGCCCGCTCCGCACCGGCCCCGGCCGGCCCGCCACTGTCGCCTTTGTTCGCACCAACCGGCTCCTGATCGCCGCCGGAGAGCTCTCCCCAGGGGCGCCCTCCTCCAGCGGAACCGACAAGGGCCGCAGCCGGCCGCGCCCGCCAGAGAGCCGCCCCTCAGGCGGAGGGGCCCCACCGCGCGCGGGGAACCGGAGCGCGGATCTCGCTCACAAACGCAAGCAGGCGCGGCCGCGCACACACCCAGCCGGCCGCGCGGCCCTACCTGCCCCTCAAGCCCGCGGGAACGCAGCGCCGCGGAAGGTGGAGCCAGCGAGCGGGGAGCGCGGCAGCGGCACCAACACCGACAGCGGCAGCAGCGGTAACAGCGACAGCACTTCCCCCGCCCCGCCCCGCCCCGCCCCGCCCTCAGCAGCGCCACCGCCTCCCGCCCGCCCCGAAGCGCGCCCTCTGCCGCTGGGAGGCCGCGGGCACGGCCCGCACCCGATTGGCAGGACTCTGGCGGCTCAGGGTTTTCCCATTGGCTCGTCACCCTTGTTTTGGAAACTGGCACTTCTGATTGGTAGCGGCTGTGCGAAGGACTTGCTGCTAATTGGTTAGTTGTTTAGGGCCTCCTTGCCGTCCTTCCCCAGGCCTCGCCATAGCGCTGTGCGCTGCGCCGCGCACCGTTCGGCCCTCCATTAGCTCTGCCGGAAGCCGCCTGACGCGGGCAGCCCGCTCGCGGAGCCCTATGGGAGACCCCACGCTCAGTGATGTCACTCTGCCCGTGTCGCTCCGGCGTAAAGACCAAGGGGGATGGCTTGTGCTGCCATCGTACCTCTCTTGTCGCCCTGCGTGCGCTCGGGGCGCCCGCCGCCTGAGGGGATGCGTGAGGTAACGGTGTCCGGTAACGGCCCTCATCTGACCGGGGCAGGCCGCGGGACAGCCGGCGGTAAGCGGCTGCTGCTTCTGGGGTGCGTCCGGGGCGCTGCTGCGCCTTCAGCCGCGTTGAAGCGAGCGCGGAGCGACCTGGCGGTTCAGAGTGTCCCTGCAGCTGCTGCCGTTCCCGTGCACGAGAGTGACCCGAGGTGTTCTCCGTCGTTCAGCTGGGATGAGTATTTACGAACCCGGGAACGTGTTGCGTTGCAGACTCTGTTTTGGAGCTCAGAAAACACGGTTTATAGAATCATAGACTCAACCGGGTTGGAAAACGTCATCAAGCTCAACTGTTACCCAGCACCGTTAAAGGCAACGCCAAACCATGTCACTAAGGGCCTCGTCTACACGGTTTGTGAGCACTTCCGGGGACGGTGACTCTGCTACTGCCCTGAGCAGCCTGTTCCAATCCTGATCACCCTCTCAGTGAAGAAATTGTTCCCAATATCCAGTCTAAATCTCCCCTGCTGCAACTTGTGGCTATTTCCTCTTGTCCCACGTTGTGAAACTTTGCCAAATAATAAACCAGGAGGGAGCGGGAGGCTTAAGGGATGTTGTTTGTCGTTCCTTCTCAGCAGCAGAGCTGTCTGGTGAAGGCAGGACTCCTTCCGATCCCGCCGTGTGCTGTCAGGGGATTGTGGTTATGGGTATCCTGAATGCTCCCTCACATGCAAAGAGCTGGTCTGTGCCTCTCTTGTAGTGCACAGAATTGACGTTCTAATGATACTGTTGTTTTTTTTTCCAGTAGCATTAATGCTGTGGTGTCAGTAGCACAGCTGACTAGGCTCGTATATGCATGTCCCCACAAATAACGTGATAAAAAAATCCCAAACACTGATGTGGCCTGTATAAGGGTGGAACTGTATAAAGAAAAGCTTTCCAAGTTTTAACAAACATAGTATACAAATTATACCGCTATTAATTGAGACTAAAAGGAATACAGCCAATTAGTAGTTTCATCAGGTGAAGTAACATGGATGGAAGGTTCCTTGACCTGGTGAAGTGTACCTGTGTTACACATTGTTTCAGTCTAATGACTGTGGAGGGACTGTAAGAACAAACTTGAAGTTCTGTCTTGAGGCTTTTCTCAGCTCCAAAGGCCAGATTGCCTCCAGTTGATCTCAGTCATGTCAGTTCTTGAGACTAAGTGTGCCAATTTAATGGGAGCTGTCAGATGTTAAATAGTTAATGCTTAAGTCTATAGAATGAAATGTAAGAGTGTGATAGGACTCAGTGAAAAATCTGGCTTTTGCTTACTGCAGCAATAGTAAGCAAAAAAAGGGAGGTGAGAGAAACAAGAGTAAAAAAAAAATTATGCATAGAACAAGAATTACACCCATAGATCTGTCCTGGGTTCAGCAGTAGCAGTCATGTTTCTCCTTCTTGGTAGCTGGTGCAGTGCAGTGTTTTGACTTTCGGCCTGGGAACAGAGCTGATAGCGATGTTTTGGTTTGGCCAAGGACTTTGTGAGCCTCATGCTCTGCCAGGGAGGAGGGGAAGCCAGGAGAAAGCAGAGACAGGACACCTGACCCAAGCTAGCCAAAGAGGTATTCCATACCACAGCACGTCATGCCCAGGATGTAACTGGGAGTTACCCGGAAGGGCTGGGAGACTGCAGGGTTGGAGGAGGTATGGGTTGGTGCTTGGTCGGGCCTGGGGGGCCGAGTTATCAGTTGGCTGGTGGTGAGGTGATGTATTCTCTTCCCTTGCTATTTCCTTTATCATTGTTATTATTGGTGGTAGCAGTGGTGATTTATGTTATACCTTAGATACTAAACTGTTCTTATCTCAACCCGTGGGAGTTGCGTTTTTTTTGATTCTCCTCTCCATCCCTCTGGGAGTAGGGGGAGGGAAAGAAGGTGGGGAAGTGAGTGAACAAGTTACCTGACTGGGTTTAAACCACGACAGTGGTTTAACTATACGGTTATAGTTTATGGTTATAGTTTATGGTTAACCATAAACCATGGTTAACCATAAACTAAGAAATGGACCATAAAAATGGTAAGAAGGCTTATCCAATTCCAAATAACAATTGTTTGAACACCAAGCAGCTTAAGAAAGCAAGCAGTATGATCGTTCTCATCCAGAACAGCAAATCATTGCTGAGGTAAAATCGTTTGGCTGGTGGTAGCACAATGAAAATATTAATCCTAGTTGTTAATCCTTTTAATTTATACATATTATATAAATCATGTTGCTTATTTTTCTAAGCCTGCTGTTAGGATTGGCTGCACACCGTTCTCCTTTGGAGGATGGCTTGTTGAGGACTCCACTGGTGGGCCAGCTACTTTGGGCATGTTTCAGATGTAATTACTGAAAAAGTGAGCCTGAAAATTGCATCAGGTAAAGTTAAGTTACTAAAAATGTCTATACAAATACCCTACCTATCAAACACTTAGAAAGCAAAGTAAATTTTGTGTATAAAACAATTTGTATTTTCTGCCATTACTTGACATCTCTCTTTTGCTTAGGATAGCCAGAGATGAGCATTTCTGTGAATAAAACAGGAAGACCTATTGCACATTTTTGTAACTGGCCTGCATATGAAGGAGGATTTCCACCAAAGGTATTGCCAATATTAGGTTTTGGTTTGCCAGTACGGGGTTTTTTGTTGGTAATGGTGGATTCTACATGTCTCCACAATAAAACATTGAGTATTGCATGCAAATTGGGCTCTCTAACAAGGCAAGTTAAACTGTAACTTTTATGGCATGAGCCTGAGGTTAGCTATAAAGATTAAGAAGCTACTTAGCGTTTTTCTTGCTTGTTGAAACATTGTTGGAAATTGTTTAAGCTAGTGAAATACGGGGTTTTGCATAGAAGTTAGAGTAGAGATCCATCAATCATAACCTTTACATAAAAAAATGACTATACAATAGAGAATATCTTGATTTTGTTTCAATGTCTCAGTCCTAATTTGAGGCAAAAGTTAAAAGTCAATAAAGATTCACTCTGTGATGCCTAGACATCACTTGGAGATTGTTTTACCAAATCCAAGATGAATTCTACCTTCCATAGCAGCCGAGTCAGGATCTAGTAGACCAGCAGAGGGCATAAGCCCCATTCTGGTGCATCCTAGGGGTCCTGGCCGATTTGTCGGAGCTGAGTCTTGGCGGGTAGCTACAAACTTAGGTCTGACCTGAATCCACAAAAAGTAGGAAGTTAATTCTTTTAGGTTGAAAGGTTCAACATTAGAAAGGACTTCTTGAATTTTTTTTTCTTCTTCTTTAATGTCAAGCTGTTTCAATATTTTAGCACACAGAAAACAAATGTATTATTGTTGGAGAGAGTCCAGAGGAGGCCACAAAGATGCTCCAAAGGCTAGAGCACCTCTGCTCTGGAGACAGACTGAGAGAGCTGGGCTTGTTCAGCCTGGGGCAGAGAAGGCTCTAGAGTGACCTTAGAGCAACTTCCAGTGCCTAAAGGGACTACAAGAAATCTGGAGAGAGACTTTTTACAAGGGCATATAGGGATAGCACAGGGGGTAATGGCTTTAAACTGACAGAGTGGAGAGTAAGATGAGATCTTAGGCAGAAGTTCTTCCCTGTGAGGGTCCTGAGGCACTGGCACAGGTTGCCCAGAGAAACTGTGGCTGCCCCATCCCTGGCAGTGTTCAAGCCCAGGTTGGATGAGGCTTGCACAATCCTGGTCTAGTGGAAGGTGTCCCCCTGCCTGTGGCAGGGGAGTGGAACTGGATGAACTTTAAGGTCCCTTCCAACCCAAACCAGTCTGGGATTCTATGATTATGTGTGGCTGGCTGAAATTTGTTACTACCAGCCACTATCAGGAGCATTAGCTTCAAGCCTCTGAATAGCCTCAAAGGATAATCATAAGTAAAATATATGGCGGTGTGCCAAAGTTATGTATGATTGGTGTAATAAGGATGTGAACAGAAAAGATAACCATTTTTTAAAATGGGTGACCTGTTAGAGATCTGTTAGCCAAAAATAAAGTGCCACTCTCTGCTTTCAACATTCTCTTAAGAGCAGTAAGGGTTAGAATGGGCAGTAGGTTTCCCTAGCTAGCTTTTTCCTAAGTTATCTAAGTTACCTCCCAGTATGCTTGGAAACAAATCAAAATGCATCACCTTGCTTTGGCAGTGGAAAGAAAAAAGACGTGCTTGTCAGGCTGTCAGTGGTTTAGTCTGTCTCCTGATATTGTCACATTTCAATAGGAGGAGTGGCAAAACTGGAACCACATGGAGCCATACCTGCAAGTGCCTCTAGAGTGACTACTCAAACCCACTCTTCAAACCCACTGTCCCAAAAATGCAGCAGTTAAATTTTTAATCATTACAATCAAGGTACTTAGCTAAGATACCCTTCTGAAGTGTTAGCTGCCCAAATTATGTAAAAATATGCAAATAAATTTTGTTGCTGGGCTAGAAAATTTAAGATTCATTTGCACAGCCATGCAGAAAGCTTTGAAAATGTGATTTAAAAATTAAATAGAAGATGTAGGGCATTTTTTATTAATTCAGATGAAAAACACTAAAGAGTAAATAAATTTGAATGACTGATACAAATAAAAGTTCTGCGCTGTAAACTTAACTTCCATTTTTGAGCTTACTGAGCCTTGACACTGCATACCCTTAAGATCTATAAATCTTTTAAGGTGTTTTACCATTTTCTTAAGGGAGTCACATTTGCAAAATTTCTTATGATCAGACAAATGTATCTGTCTGGACACAAAGGCTGTTATTTCATTACGAACCATAATATACATGGCTTCAATTCTTAATTTAATGGTATCTGATCTATTTCAGGTGATGGTAGGTAATTTTGGCCAGGGTAATGAGCAGTGTCAGTTCTGTGGGCAGTTCTCACAGCACCTCACTTCATATCCAATGAGCTAAGCAAGGACACTTCCTTAGAGTACAGAACATATCCTGAAAAATGAGATATTGATTTATACATATCAAGATGCTTCAGAGCTTCAAGGAAAGCACATCATGAAAGTACTCATTTGTCAACTTTCTTCTTTGAGAGAAGGTTTTAATTCTTAACACTGTTAGTCTTTACAGTTTCCCTAAAGAGTATCGGATTTTCTTGTACCCTTTAGAAATACTCTTTTCCTATGCCCATTTAATTTATTGGATTATTTTATTCTGTTTGATTTTCTCTATCTGTTGTCTTATTTGTGCATTATAAACACACGTTGGAGATTAAGGTGAAGAAAATTACACCTATTATCTGACCTATTTGCTAACATAATCTTTACATCACTGTTGGAACTAGCTAACCCATTATCATAAGCTTCAGCTGTTTACATCAGGTCTTAATTTTGTCATTTTCTTTTCTGTAACTATGGCTGCACTGATGAATTTAACAATATAAGATGTGTCTGATACTGCCTTGGAAGACAGAGAATGTCACTGCATCCACTGTTAGTATGAATCTCTGGAAGTGTTTTACTCGATATACAATGTTTGTTGTAGCTGTACTTTACAGCAGTACGTTTTTGTTAGATACAATATCTTGAGTTTTCAACTCAGTAGTCCTGTCTTTATTTGCTTTTGTGTTTAGAGGTTAACTAGAACAGATATTTAATGCTGAAGAATTCTAGTGTAACTCAAAAGATGGAATTTGGGTAAAGTTAATTGATCTCTTTTCCATCACAGGTTATATATGAGGTTTAAATCTGTCCATAAAGAAGATGGAGAGGGGAAAACAGTGGTTTATAATCCAATTCATTTAAAGAATGGTGCTTTAGCAAATAACATGGGCAGATGTGAGGAATACCTCTCCTGTCTCATTTTACCCAAAGGAATCCAGGTCACATGCTCTGAGACAACTCTATAAAAAGCACAGTACATAGCTTACTTCTGAGCCAGACTAAAATGCTAACACTTTGCCAGTTAGATTGCTCGTAGCAGGAGTCAGTTCTTTGAAGAAAGTTTTGCAAGAGACCTTTGCATAAACAAGCAGGGATCAAGCCATATTTCTCTTTTTGCAGTCAGGTATCCTAATCACAAGATAGAGTGTCACTGGTGCATGGTTCTTTCTCTCTCACTTGAGTAAGAGACACTAATTCTTTTCACAATTTCAGCAAAAGGAGTAGAAGCAGTAGTTGCTTACAAACCTCTTTAAGCTGACAATTAGATTATCCTTTTAGTAGGAATGCCAAGTAGGTTAAATATCTTCAAGGCCTCTAAACTGCAGCTCTTCGATCCTGAAAGCTAGTAACACATTGGCACTATGTCTGATTCCCTGCAGTCTTAGGTCAAAATGGCTAAATGTTGCACCTCTCTGCTGTGTTTAATCATATCCGTGTGGCTAAAATAGAAAATCCCCAGTCATCATGTTGGCTCTTAAGAATTCTTAACTCCATACACTATGGAGAAAGTTCAGGCCCTTCCCATAGAGAATCAGCCACCACAATGCTCAGTTATAGACCAATACCTGCAAACAGTATAAGAAGTTATTCATCAGCTGATCTTAACTGTCATCCTTATTCCAAACAGTCAAGCAGTCATCTGAAGCTCAGGTTTATAAGCGCTCGTAAAAATAGCAAAGCATTTTCAAGCTGACTGAGTATAAAAACACAATTAAGGAATTCTTCAGGCTTACCTCTGACACATTTGAAGGAATTGGAGTTTCAAGTTTTAACAGTAGTGTTTACTTTTTGTTTTATATCATTCTACTTCATATTAGAGAACCTGAAAACCAAACCCAAAACCATTTTAATAATCTGTCTCCTAAAATGTAGTGGAACAAAAGCCACATTACAAAACTAACAATTTTATGTATACACTGAAAAACTCTGACTGAATTTAAGTAAAACCTTAAATAAGGGTGTCCAGACTTGTTTAGGTGCTTTTGACAGAAAACCAAAGGAGGCTGAAGCTAGCTGGTGTGTTCAACCTAGCTTATTTCCGATTTTATACTGCTGAGTATTGAGCTGATGACAGATTTTTCTGTTCTCTTTACAATCGTTACTGAAATACAGGATTTCTCTTCAGAGACAACTCTTTCAGAGACAAGAGTCTTCCCACCCTCTCAACACACACATGCTTTTCCACTAAATTTGCTTGTAGAATTCACCTTTTATTTCTTCCTGGCAATCTTCAATTCTTGACTTTCCTTGACCAACAAACTGGTTTAAAATAGAAAAAGGATAAAGAAAGACAGCATTTTTTTCTAAACTGCAGAAATTACTGATCAGTAATGCTGCCGTGTATTAAGAATTATAAATAGGTACAGGAGTGTTTGGCAATGGGTACATCAGTTGTCATCAACAGTCATGTCACTAAGAGATCTATCTAGCCAGCAACTGAAACTTTAGAAATGTGTCAAACTTAGATATTAGAAAATTGTATGTTGTCCTTTCACTCCTCTCTTTTATGGAGAAGCAGAGTCTTCGTTTCAAAATAGAAAAAAAACCCAAACAATGCTTCATAACTGAGATTCTGTCAAAAGAGAAATATTTTAAACCAGCACATTTTCAGGAAATCATAGAAATAGAGCAGAAAAGCATGAGAATGCTTTGCATGGGGATTGGAGCAACTTGGTCTAGTGGAACATGTCCCTGCCTGTGGCAGGGGGTTGGAACTAGATGAGCTTTAAGGTCCCTTCCAACCCAAACCATTCTATGAATGCTGCCATAGACACCCTAAGTATTTTCTTCCTTGGGGATCATACATTGCATCCCTCTGTTCAGCACCTTGGTATTCAAGCTGGTGTGACTCTAAAAATATGAAATCTCAGGGATTTAACTGATTTACCACTGAAGTTGATATATGAACAACACAATCAGAAATTAGTGATTCCACAGGGAATTATTCCGAAGGAATTAATTAATATCCAGAAAAATAAGGTTAGCACATCTTATCTGAAAGAGCTAGGATGCACACTCAAGAACTGTGGGAAACAAGTGTGAGCTACTGTGCTACCACTGCATAATGTAGTGGCGCTGACATAACTGCAGCGTGAGCTGTATTGTCAGCATCTAGGTATGTACAAGTTATTTCTTTAAATACACACAATTTCAGAAGTGATTTTCAGAGTTCCATGACCGTAGACTAACACACTTAGTTTCACAAAGTTCTGATTCTGAAGTATGAAAGAGAATCCAGATGAATCCAGTTTACAGTGGCCATTACAAATAAAGGCAATGATAGAGCAGTAAGACCTTTCACAACAATTTTTGTCCACATGGGTATTACAAGACAGGATATAGGATACAGGAAGTAATGGAGAAATGTTTTTAGGAAACAACTGCAATTGCAGCAGGATTACACTGCCATTAACATAGAAGTTGCTGCAAGAGGCAGAGTTCTGCTGTTTCTCACAACTGTGCACTAATCAACTTTTCATTAATTTCATGCTCTTTTAATATGTTTTATAAATCAGTTTTTGTGTTTCTAATCACTTGTGCTTCCACAAAATTTGAGTTTTGAGTTGGTATGCTGTCAGACTCAAAAGCAACCTTAGATGGTTGAGTTTTTAACTTGGATGCTGTGGCACCCCACCCACTGGCTGTATACAAAAGGAGGTTTTAAATTGACAGGGGAATTAACAGTCTTCCAAACTTCAGTCTGGAGAATGTATAATTACACTAAGTCATTGTCAGAAGCTATTTTAAAAGTAAATGTTGCCTGCCTTCTGAGGTTTTTCTATATCTATATAGTTTGGGCATGTCAGCCTTTCTTTAAAACTACAGCAGCATTGTTCTTGATAGAATAAGCAGCAACTAGCACACTTAAAAGCACAGAAAATAAGACGAGCAGCTGGGCTTTTCCAAGTCTCTATGGCCACCTTGCCACTGACTTCGTATAGAGCTTCGGTGATCCTGGGTCTCATTATTTAAATTTGGGAAATGCAGCTTTCAGGTTTTAAACTTAAGCAGTTGTCACAGTGATTATTTGTTTACATAGAAATGGCCTTTCTTCTGCAAACTGCTGAATCTTAGGTATTAAATAGTTTTATACCTTTTTCTTTGTTACCTTTTAGAGATAATAGGAATGTACTGGCTTAGCTGAACCTAACCTATAATAAATATTGTTTACAATTTATATTTTCTCAAGGCTAGAGTTTCTTTAGCTGTCAGTTGAAACATTTTAGAATTGAGCTATTGCTATTCCTCCCTTTACTGAAAGCTGTCCCAAATGATTATCCCTACGAATATTTGAATGACTAAACCACCTTTTTCTTGCTCAGAAAAGAAAGTCTGTCTTCATTAAATTTCATTTTTACTATAAAAATGACCCACTTCAAATGTGCATAGGCCCATCTTACTGTATGTCAATTGGTTTTAAATAAACTCTCCCCTAACAAGGCTGTCCCATCTCTACTGCTGGTGCCTACTCTCGATTCAACTCTTTTCCAGCCACAGCCCCTTACTAGACGTTCTTCTGTTAACAGAACAGGAAGTTCCTTATCTTCTAAAATTGTCTGACTCCAAGTTTAATTACATGCTATAAGTAGATAGAAAATATTCCTTGCTCAAAGAGAAATTACTTGGGCTGGTACAAGAAATTTCAGGGCCTGTGGCTTACAAGTCAGGTGGAATGATCTGACCTTCAACTCTGAAAAAATGACAAGTGACTTAAGCTGAAGAAGAAAAGATGATGGGCAGAGCCCAAGCCAAAGTGATGAAAAGCAAAATTCAAAGACCAAAAACCTTGGAAAGAAGCAGCCTACCGTAAGCAATTACACTTGTTTTGATGGTGACCCTTCTGTAAGGGATTGTGCTGCTCAAGGTTCTCACACAGGTTTCTGAGTCCAGTATTTCAAGTAAAATGAGAACTGCTGCAGCTCCTCCTCTTCCTTCAACTTACAGTCATAATGATCATAAAAGGACCCACCTAATTCCAGTCCTTCCAGTTGTGGGGTAATCACCTCAATATGCAGATTACAGAAAACTAAGGGGGATGCAATATATATGAAATAGCACAAAATGCTTCTTTTTTATATGAAAAAAAAAGTGTTTGTTTAGTGCTTATATTATTTAGTGCTTGCTTTCTGCCCGGAGGAAGATGCATTCGCTTCCCTACTATCAAGATGAAATCGTTGCAGAGAATTAACTGCTTTGCTTTACATTTTAATTCTACTTCATTATATGCATATGCAAAACACATTTGCACACATCTGCAGGCAAACTTAAACAAAAAGTAATGTTGCTTAAACAAAAAGTAACAAATGAAAAATACCACTTTTCTGGAGGTGAAAAAAATGAACCTCCAGCAGCATCTCAACACAGTTATCCTTGAACATCCATGGATTTGACAGTGACGTACAGTCATAACTTTTGTTTTTTAAAATAAATATTCTACAGGTATTTTGTTTGGTGGCTCTCAGAACAAAACAATCTAAAGTAAAATTCAGTATAGTATTTTACAGAATTAATTAGAATTGCTTATGTAATTCAGTTGGGGTATGCCTCCTCTTGACGCTCCATTCTAAATAACACCTGCACACAAGCAAAGGTTATCTGTTCCTGGCAAATCCTTCATAGGGATTATATTGTGTATAAACTAATAAGGGTTTATCTTTTCTTCTTTCTGGCAGAGGAAATAACTAGAGCAACATTTAAACATTAACATGGCATTGAAGAATTCCAAACAGAATTAGGAAATGAAAAGGTTGGGATTCTCAGAGCAATATCAAGTCACCATTAAGCATGCAGATCTTACTTGCGGACCACATGTAAAATTCACAATACTCTGTGTATGCAGTACCATTTTGCTCTGTGAAGCAAAAATGTCAAGTATGCACAAGCTGTTTATTTTAAAAGATCATCTAATATTATCAGCATCAAATTTTATATGCAGTCCCGTATTATTCCTGTTTTTTGAGATGCCATTGACACAAACCAAAGCTAGACAAAATTTTTACCATTCTACATCATTTAAAAGAAAATGCCTATTATTCCTGTTTATTCCTGTATTATTCCTGTTTTTTTGAGATGCCGTTGACACAAACCAAAGCTAGACAAAATTTTTACCATTCTACATCATTTAAAAGAAAATGCCTATGGTGAAGTAACTGAGAAACAATTAAAATGTGCTAAGCTTTACACCATAAAAGAGGAAAATATATTTAGTACTTGCCATCTGAAAGAGTTTCATGAGCACAGAAAAATGGCTGTTTGGGAACATGACTGTTGATTTCTGCAAAATGTGAAAAGCAAGTCAGTGAAAGCTATAATGTAAATTTGAAATTAGGAACTTACCAAAGAAGGCCTTGGAGGAATGGACTGCTTTGTTCCTAGTCACCTTTCAGCTGCTGGTTCTTGAGATCACCTGTGATTTGATGCTACATGTATTTTAGGTAAGCTTTAGTGCTTCAAAGAATTTAAATCCATTTAGCAAGATTCACAATCCTTGTGAATTGAAGAGAAATTGTGAGTTGAAGAGAAAGCTATTATTTTTAAAACTTTACTATGACTGATTCCTTGCTCCTGCTTTTTCTTGCTATCTTGCACATCCTGATGCCAGTTAGCAAGGCCTGTTCCGCGCAGCATAGCAAACTTCCTGATTCTGTATAGTAAATGCAAAGAGAATGACAGTTCCATCACTGTTGTACAAATGGGGCAGTTTGTGGTATATGATGTATTAATTTTGTGGTGGCATCTCATATCCAGTTAGAACTTTTTATACGTAGGAACAATTTTCTTCATATATGTTATTTTAAAGCATAGAGCCTCTCTATGTGTTAAGGATGGTATGAACTTTATTAGTTACAGGAGCTGTAGACAAGAATTTTTCGACTCTGTGCAATTCAGTAAATAAAGCATCATCATTAGGAATTTGTTTTATTTTAAACCAAGGAAGCAATTTATGTATTTGGATCAGGACATCTTCCTTGTATTAAAATGAAACCAAAAAGAACAACCAAGGCTTAAAACTGCCAAACTGACTGGTGTCCTAATTTTCAATATGTACAATGGAAATTTTGCAGCATTTCTATATGTGTTTGAAGATTTAGTGAACTCTGCAAGTTAAGCATCAGTATTTTGCCTGAGTGCTGCATATTTACAAGGTACTGGGACTTCACTACAGCAGCTACCTTCAGACTCAACTGTTTTCTTAGCTTTTTCTGATAATGAGTCTGCAAGTCTTCTGTTGTAAATGTCCTGACCATGTCTTTTCTTGTCTGTAACTGATCACTTTTAAGGAAATACAAAACCTATAGAATCATAAACGTCTTCTTAGTTTTAGGAAAAAGTATTCTTAAGCCAGTAACTGATACTGCAAAGAAGCATAAGCTTAAGTCTTTATAATTACAGGATATATAAATTGTTCTAAATTGTTTATATAACATAATACTCATGGCACTTGTGTTTTCTAAATGTGATGGAAAATAGGCCTACATAGAAAACTTAATAATATGCTTGTCACGATGGCCCAGATTAGAGAATGCATTTGAACTCTTGCCTTGTATTGAAATGAAAATCCTTGCTTCTCACTGGAAATCAAAACAGCAGCTAGTGGCTAAACAATAGCAGCTAAGCAAACATTTTACTGAACATTGCCCTGCATGTTGTGCACTTACACTCCATGCATACTCCTTGGCAAATGACTCTTACATCTTTTGGCTGATTTGGAAGTACCTTGTTTATTTCAGGTGTAGCAAATCATGATGCTAGTGCTGACAGTTCTCTGGTTCAATTACTCCTCATCCCAACCACACTGCAAAGCAAAAGTAAAGATGGGAGACAGGCCAACAGCAACAGAAAGATACTGTTGATACTTTTTGATCTGAGATGTCTTAAACTACCACCATATTTCTGGTATTCACTTGTTTCCTACTGATAAATTCTCTAGCTAATCCAGACGTTCCCCATCCCTCAGTACTTTGTCTCTCAAGAATACACTGAATTTCCTAGTTCCCAAAGCAGTCTTGATGGCATTTAAGCTGTTTAAAGATATGTAGCCCTTGTGCTGATTAGCCCAGAACAGGCAAGGGCTACATTCTACTCACTCTTCCTTTGATGGACACATAACTTAGGCATTTTATCTTCTGGCAAGCGTCCAGTTGCCATTAAACTCTTCACAGCTGAGGAAGCAGGTATCATGAACAGTAACGTTGTGAAAAGTAGACCAGACAAATGGGGTGTTATAGAACAAGACAATAAGAGGTGAACAAATAAACAGGTAAGAAAAATCTGCATTCTGTTTTTAAGCAATTTAAAACAGTTAGAGACAACAAAGAGCCAGTAGACATACTAAAAGGAAAAGTTACACAAAATCATAACATGCATTTCTGTCCTTCCCTCTTAGCAGAATGTGGTCTTCACAGTCTCTATAAATCCACCGACTGTCTTCACCTTGAATACTGTACAATTCTGCAGTTTCCCCCCATCTCAGTAAAAATAGAAATGGAAGAAGATTCAGAAATGGTCAACACGGACAAAGGCACAGAAATGGGGTTTCAGAACAGTGAGTCAGATTGACAGTAAAGTATTTCTTTATGAAAAGGGCACTGGTGCTGTTTATGACAAAGCTGTCTATTTAATAAAGTAGGCAAAGTCTCAGCTCTCTTTGAATTCAGTATGGATGATTTCCCCAATGTATTTACATAGCTTAGTTGGTGATATGTGGGAAAAATAATTAATCAATTAATTTGTTATTGCAGTATAACAGGCTACTGCCTTCCCTGCCTGCAGGGCATAGTTTCATGAACACCTTTAGGCAAAACAAGCAGCAGTTTTGGAGTCTCTTTCCCTCCAAGTCTGCAGTCCAACTTTCTGCTCAAGGCAGGTTCCATTAAAGCAAATGCCTCTTGTGCACCTCTGGGAAGAATCTGACTCCATATTTTCTACACTGTTCCATGGGGAAGTAGTAGTCAGCATATCACTTCCCCTCACCATCTTTAAACCTGATGAAATCCAGTGCTCTCAGCTTTTTGTATGTCATCAACTGCAGCCCCCTGAACAGTTTGGTGGCCTTTATGAGTCTTGCTTAGCATGTGAATGCCTTTCTTAAAATGAGACTTGGAACTCCAAATGTTGTCTCACAAGTGTCACGTGGAAGGGAAGAATCTCTTGCCTCCAAACCTATCAGTTGTGCTCAGCCCAATAAGCAGCTGGACATGTTTGCTGCAAGAGCACACTGTTGACTCACATTCAGCTTGTGCACCATGACCCCCAGCTTCTTTTTTATAAAGCTGCTCTCTATGCAGTCAGTTCCCAACCTGTCACAACACATGGGGTTATGCCAACCCAGATGCAGGGCTTTGCATTGGCCTTTGCTGAACTTCATGAGGTTCCCCAGCAGCTCCTTTTTCCAGTCTGACTGGGTCCATCAGAGTAGCAGCCCTGCCCTCCAGTGTATCAACCACTCCCCCAATTTGGTATCACCCACAAATTTGCTGAGAGGTCACTCTATCTCATCATGCTGGTCATTACATCAACCATTTCAAGAATCCAAGTTGGTGTAACCTATGTAAAAGCAAGCAAGTCAAACATCCTTCCAGAGATATGCTAGATTTAAAATTTTGTTTTACAGAAATGCAGGAGTTGCATTGCTGAGTATCTTTTCCTTTAGATATAAAAAGTAGCCCTAGGTTCCAGAAGAAGCAGGCCCTGGTCTTTTTTTTTGGATGCAAATACTGAAATGTAGAACTTGATTTACTGTAAGAAATCTTCTGGAAGGCAGAGATGCTTGTTGAGACCGAAGAACCAAGCAAGTCAGAAATTATTTATAGGGCCCTTCCCCAGAATCTTCCTGTCTGTGGCTTTGCTCAAAGACAGATGATATATTTCTGTATCTTAAAATGACCAGAGTTGCATCAGTCTACGTGGTACTCCGGGAACATACTTGCAATCTTGTTATTTGCCTGGGTGGTTTTATGCACAGGATGGACTTTGTGCTTGTAGCTGTTACACTTAAGGAGCAGAGGGTAGAATCTGCAAGAGAACAAAACCAGAAAAAGAGAGATGAAAGAAGAAACCTGTAGGAGTAATTTAGCTCCTCTGCATACATTATAAATATAAACCACTTTCAAGAACATTTATGTAATGACAGCTTTTCCAGCACACAACTGTCTGTTATGGGCAGCTATGCACTAGCACAGTATTTCTGCAGAATGGACAGAATAACATTACTGCCAAAGGGCATATAAAGGACAATGCTACAAACACGCTCCCCAAAATTCTCTCAGAACATATTATGCCACTCATAGGCTTACTATTACCAAAGACATGACAAGTTATACTATAGGCTGGTATGGTCCTAAATCGAAGTTGGATTTTGTTCTGTATGCTAGAAATAGATATAATACCAAGTACATTGGAAATACTATAAAACAGCTCATCAGAATGTTTTCTGATCTTCCACATGGAGCTTGTCTCTCCAGACTATGTTTTTTAACTGTCATGGGTTTTGGAACAACATTCCCAACAACATGAGCTGAAGAAAACATCCGTAAACAGGAAGCATTGGTTGTGAAAAGGAACTAAGAGAAGATGGAAGGACATGAAAGAGAAGAAAGTCAGCCAAGCCTCTAAAAATGGGAACAAAGGCACTGCATGTTTCCAAACAAATACTTCAGTAAGCAAGGCTGTTTTGTTTCTTCTACGAAGACAACGATGATAAAAGAAGTTGATTGTGTACTACTTGGACATCCAGTACCTGAAGGAACTTAAACTTGTAAGGGATGTATTCCAGGCCAACCCTGTGTCCCAGTCCAACGTTTAAGAAAATGTGGTGTAACTTCAGGACATAGGATCATAGAGTCGTTTGGGTTGGAAAGGACCTCAAGATCATACAGTTCCAAGCTCCCTGCCATGGGCAGGGGCACCTCAACCTAGACCATGTCACCCAAGGCTCTGTCCAACATTTGCCAAGTACAGCAATCAAGTAAATTCAGGCAGTTGACTTACTGCTGGAAAGCAGCTCTTCAGTTCTGGTTATTCTGATACCTTCACAGTGTATCAGGTATGTGTTTTCTTTCCTTATTTTCCTCCAGGAGTCAGTGCTGCAGAAGAACCCAATCTGGGACTTGTGCTGGGTTGCAGAACACCAAGGTACAGCTCCTCAGCTCTGCTATAGCCATCATATAACACCACGAACAGATCACCCTGTCATCTCTAACAATGGGAAAATAATTTTCACCATTCTTTATTAGTTCATTCATTCAGTGGGGCAGTAAATATATCATATAGCTTAATTGTCACAAGCTTAATGCAGCAGGATCCTAATTTTGTAGGACTTTGCTTAGATACCAAGAGACCATATTATTTCCATACTCATCATCATTATTACTGATTTTCCTAACAGCTAAATGCAGAATATGTATAGATTTCACCAGGCAGGTGGTAAATGCTTTCTCATTTCTCTGTAAAAATAACTGCTCTTACTAAACAGAAAGTGTTAATGGAACTGACTTCTTCTGTTACAAAAATACAGCTTTGCAGCTGTTTAGTCAGTAGTAAATATACTATTACATTGTTCTCAAAGTCACTAATTTCACCTGCTCACAGGAAAGTGGTAACTTGATTTACATTAACCATACTTTAGACCATTCTAGCACTTTCCATCAACATTTTAACATTTTGGATTAATGTACTCTGTCATCTTCCTGCATATACAGGATCATGGACACTGAGAAATGAGTCTTTTACAATTGACTTAACAGTTTTGCCCATAATATTGTTATGCTGTGAGAAATGTTCCTCAGTACAACTGTGTGTCTCAATTATATTAATCTATTTTTCAGATTTAAAACCAACTCAATTAAAGCAACCATTGAGCACATGCAACCTTGTTTGATAAAGTATATTTGAAAAGCAAATGCTTCTCCTCACCTATGCACAGCTCCAGTTGCCAAAAAGAATTCGTCAGTGAGAAGGAAAATGCAATTTGTCATAAATGACTTACACCAGTCACCAAATGCTTCAGATAAATGAAAAGGAACACTACAAGAAGCAAATACAACAGGTCTGCACTGCCACATAAGATTTATTTGAAAATTTTATGGGAATTGGAAATCTCATTTAAAAAATAAATCATTATCATTGTAATCCATATTAACTTCCAGTCTGCAACTAGTATATTTTCTTAGCCATATGCCATGGCACTTAACTGGACAACCTAAATCTACCTCAATATAAGTATTTCCTTCTATGAGATTTCTCTGCCTTCCATCCCGGTTTCACTAGATGTTCTCCTTTGAACTCTTACTACAACTTGTAGGAAGCAGAACTCGTGACTTGTATTTCTTACGTCATGTAGATTTTGTCACTTTCACATCTTTGACTACTTTCTGGTAGAAGCAGCTGTAGTCTGAACACATCAGTCTCACTTGATTTTTCATTGGTTTTAAGATTACTTTCCTTCCTTCAGTGAAAAACGTATCAACTGCACTAATCCAACACCAAGTACACTAAGACATTGCATCAACTGGTCTCCTGAAGAACATTCACGTTTCTCCTCTGGATACTGTTTTCATTGTCATATCCAATGGTATGCTGGATGGGATACTGTTCAACTGGAAGTTGCACTAAACAGCTGTTGAACACTATTAAAACGTTCTAATAGGTGTGACTTATGGACCGGAAGAGTCAGTAAACAAATGCAGTATAAGTGACAGTATGAAAATGGACTAACAGCAATTAGCAATGAGACTCCATGAGTAACAGGGAAATTGCCTTGACCCAGTTGATGGCAGGAGCAGCATAATCTTTAAAAAAAAAAAAGGATATTTAAAAAAAGAAAAATCCCTTTTTTTTTTTGTTTTCTGTTTTGACTGGTTTTCTCTTATGACTTGTACATTTACCAAGACTTCTTAGGGTCATTGACAATGGTTATGGTTGCCACAGATTCCATTTCGCTGGTATTCTAGTCCATCCCCACTGGGAAATGGTCAGCTATGTTCACAGACACAACAGAGTGTGGACAGTTTTCAGTGGGCTAATGCATCATCTCTGGTGTTCACCATGTAGTGTTCACCATGTGTATCAGGTGTACTCAGGCATAACAATATCCTACCTTAAACTGATGTGCTTCCATATTTATCCCACACTACCCTAACTTCAGTGCCAACACAAACATTTCATAGAGTGTGGATTAGTAAGAGCATAACAAAAACAAACCTCATCTGTCTGTGCATGCTTTTAGCCTTTTGGAATCAGACCACATAGGATTTTCTACTTCTGATTAAAGAGGAGTGATGTAAGGCAGAAATCGGAGCACTTCAATGCAAAAGTAAAATTATCCTTCAGTATGCACATGAAAAAGCATTTCATTTCTTTCATGAAAATATCATTCGGTACCAAAAAGCCTACCAGCTGCTCTCCAACAGTAAGATGACATGATGAAGAAAAAGTTCTTGGTAAGTTCTGTAAAATCCCCTTTGTTTCCCTCCTTCTTTATCCTAGCAGTGTAGGCCTCAGTGGGATCTATGGGGGTCATATCCTGGAATATAATGATGCCACAAAAACGCCAAAACAGAAAAAAAAAAACAACCCAACCCAAAAAGAAACAAACAAAAACAACCCCCCAAAAAAACCCAAACAAACAACAAAAAAAAAAACCAAAACAACCCAAACCAAATAAAACCCAAACAAAAAACTTAAACATAAACACACACACAAGATCAATACCCAGAATTTCAGGGGTCCCGACTGCTTGAACAACTGCCAGAAAATGCACTGACTGATGAAATACTTGGAACTTATGCGCAAGGAAAAATAAAATCACACAAAAGCAAGCAGTATTTTCTGTGGGTTGAGAGGCAATGAAAGTGTGATTGCAATCTGGCATCTAGCTGTAGGCTTTACAAAATATTATAAGAGCTGGAAAGGTAATGGGAAAAAATATCCAAAGATTATACAAGGTATCAAAAAATACTCTGTTTTGGTTGAGAGAAACTTACAAAGTTGTTTTGATCCAGCTACACATATTCATAACCAGTTCAGGAGTTGATTGTTCTTTAGTTCTCCAAGAGAAGTAGCAATCGGGAGGTGAAGTTTGGCAGATTCAGAGTACAGGCACAGCGCTTGCATTCAGCACCGGTTATAATTAACCACTAGAAGAATTTACAACACGGCTCACTTCCGTCTTAACTCTTCGGGTCGAGATTAAATAACCTAGGTAGTGCTGTAACTCAAAGAGAAATAACGGCTATAGGAGCAGGCGAGCCCTGGGGTACGGAGGTGAGCCTTCCCCTCCCCCCCCGCCACCCCCCTTAGGGGTCCCTTCCCCCGCTCCGTGGCCGAGTGTCCGGATCCAGCGCTCCCGCTCTTGCAGCGGCAGCTCCTCCCTTCTGCCTAGATGGACAGCGGGGCTCGGGGGACCTGGCTCGGGGCAGAAAGCAGCCTCTTATAGGCAACACGGAGCAGTCAGGCTCACACCTCCTCGCCCCGCCGCCGGAGCCGCACCCGCCGCGCCACCCGTGGGACCCCGCCGCCCCGCAATGCCCCTGCGCCTCCTGCTGCTGCTGCTGCTACCGGCAGCCGGTGAGTAGAGCCGCCGCTGGCTTGTGTGGGGCTCAGCATAGGGTACCGGCCCCGCCGCTCCGTGCCCCGTCCAGCAGCGTCTCCCGGGCGGTTGCTGCGGGATGCGTTAGCCCTTCTCCCGGCGCTCAGTACCCGGAGGGATGGGGCTTGGCTGCATCTGGTGGGGGAAGAAGGAGGAGAGGAAAGAGCGTTAGGAGACATGACCGTGGCAGATGAACACCTCCACGAGCTGGAAAACAGTTGTTTGAAAGACTGTCGCTTGGGCGCAGCCTGGGTGTAACTCACCCGAACGGGAAACGAGGTGCTGGCAGAGAGCTGCAGGCTGGAGCAGTGCTGACAGCCCGTCCTGTCCCAGCCTGCATGTGGAAGGCAGGAGCTCTGCTGGAGGGTCTCGCACTACTTTTGTAAAGTTCATCAGTAATGTGCAATGGTGTTAAAAAGTGCGGTATTTGGAACCATACTGCAGGTTGCACGTGTAATAATCATCTTTCTACAAAGCAAATACATCTACCCACACTCTTCTTGTGGGATTAGAGAGCTACCTCCAAGCACTTCAGTTACGAAGCAGTTCAAAAGCCAAGAACTGCTCAAACTGTGATCACCGGCAGAACCATAACTGGGTTATTCTGAAAGAGTGAGTCAGTCTTCATGAATAAGTTATGATGTGAGGATGTAATTAGAGGACCCCTGCCTCAGACCTGAGTACAGCAACTACTCACTTAGCAAGTATTTAATTAATTTTTTTGTCTTTTATGTCCTATGTATTAAGCAGTATTAAAGGCCAGTTGTAATAATTTACAATTAATTTCCTCATAGGTTTTCTGAGGTATTCATCAGTGTATCTGAATGTACTTAATTCTTTCACACTTCTGTGAAACTATGTTATCATCCCTCTTTTTCACATAGGTAGGTGGGCTGACACAAAAAAGCATCCACTAATTTTAAGTTCCCATGGTGACATGTTAGAACCTGATTTTATCTACAACTACTTACAATTAATGTAGAACTTTAACTCCTCAAAGCCTGGCTCTCAGAGTGTTGCAGCAGGTTGGTACTCTAACCCCAGGATATGCAGCAGGCATGAGCATACGATTAGTAAACATGTACAGGCATTGTTTTAAAGTGATTAAACCTCATGCTGAGTCTTTGTGACAGCTGTAAGGATAAAATCCAGTTTTCCAGAACAGCATTCAGCTGCCTTAATTCAGAGATTCTCTTTCGTCTTCCTGCACATTTTTACACATACCTGCACAACTTGCAGATTCACCAAACCAAATCTCATTAATAGGATCCCAAGGACAAGAGCCTTGCTTCATTCTTATAACAGATTCTGTGCCAGAATGAAGCAGGGTTGGGATGAGGAAGGGGGGTAAGGCAATCACATGATTAAAGGCCATAAGGTAAAGTGCTTGCATAATGGGGCCAACTTAAGACCCTACCAAGCTCACTGCCCCAGTTCTATTGCCTGACCTCAGCATGCCCCTGTTATTCCCTCTGCGTATTGATCATCCTCCAGATCTCATCCTTTGCACGGCACAAACCTCAGAAAGAACATGAAGGAAAGCAAGGAAATACTGTTTCACTGCTTCTGCCAGCCTGGAGTAATCATTACAGAGAGCCTGGCTGCTTTGGTCTGATAGCTCTGAGTCAGGCATCCCAGTCACCCATTCCATAGGCAGCGAGGAGGATGGGAAATGCAGTTTACCTGTTTCTTGGTGCTTGGTCCACAGTATCAAAACAGGCAAATTTATCATTTTGAAAAATTTACATGTGACCCCAGGCTATGGAGATAGCACAGCAGCAGTCTGGGCAACAAGACAAGGTGAACAAGGTGTCATGATGGCTTAAGTAACAAGAGTAAAAAACATAAGCAAAACCAAAAAACATTTCAGTAACTCACACAGTTCAATGGGTTCCACTTCTGGCAAGATCTTGGAGATGCATCAGAAAGTCTGCTTAGTCCCAGGCTCCGAGTTCTGAACTACTGGAGCACTATGACTGTACAAAGAAAATATCACTATAGTAAATACTACACATATTTAACATCAGAAAACATTTCTGTAGCCCCAGTCTTTGAAAGAATATATTAAAATTTCTTTTAAAACCCACAAAACATAAATTGTATTAGATACTAATGACTAATGTAGTATGTATCATAAATACGCAAAGCTGTGCATCTCAATAAAAAACGTAATTACATCTCTGCCAAAATAATTATTATGTTTGCATTGTGCCCATTGCAAGGAGTAAAATCTTATGGGAAATGGGACCTTTCACAAAAAATGAATGCACTTCTAAACATTTTTTCCCCTCTATGCATCTGGAAATATAAGATTTTTAAATACTATTGTAAGCTATTCGGAAAAGTAGGAAAAAAGGAGAGGAGGAAGGCAGAGTGGAAAACAACTTGCAAAGACATAATAAGGTCTTTGAACTCTCTAGAGCTTATACAGGCAACAAACCAAGACACAGGTCAAGCCCTCCAAACATGGCAGGGTTCCAACAGGGATGACAGTTTTGAAATCAAGCACGACACAAGCATAATATGATCACTTACCATTCCTTTCTCTCCGTCTGTCTTTAGTGTTTCCTTAATTTCAGTCTTCAGGAAGCCACCTCAAGGCTTTTGATCTCTCTGGCTTAGCCACTACAATCACAAAGACACCTGCATAGATTTGTTTGTTGGTTTGGTTTTTCTATCTGCTACTCTATGGTACCTAAAGCAGCCTTAGGATCCATATAGCTTTGGTTTCCCTTCAACCTTTACTCTTAAAGCAGCTACCTCACATCCAATTAAACCTGAGTTTGCTGATGGGCTGATCTCTTGGGGTTTTTTATTCTCCCAAATATCCGTCTTGAACATTTTCTTTCAAGAATTAGAACAGCTGAAACTTTAACAAAGTTCCAATTCCTATTCTGCAATAAACACTGGAATTAAATATTACAATATTAAAAGCCATAACAAGACCAGACTCAAACTGTCTAATGCTAAATTATTTTTGTACACTTAGATGTATTTACATTCTGTGACCTCTAGTTATAAAAACAATGTGGGCTTAATTTATTTTTATACACATTACAAAGCAATGAAATTTAAATAAACACAATCTGGTTCCCTCCCTTTTTCCCCACCCACAACACTGTGTTTGAAGAGCTGCACATACTCTGCAATCTGACAAAACAAAAGACCAGACCAGACACAGAGGGAGGACACTACACTTTCAGGAATGTATAATCAAACCTAGAGGAATATTCTTGTCCAGAGGAGGGCCACAAGGATGCTAAGGGGCCTGAAGCACCTTCCATATGAAGACAGGCGGAGAAAGCTGGGGCTGTTCAGTCTGGAGAACAGAAGACTGTGTGGAGACCTCATAGCAGCCTTCCAGTATTTGAAGGGGGCCTATAAGGATGTTGGGGATGGACCCTTCATCAGGACTGTAGTGACAGGGTAAGAGGTAATGGGTTCAAACTTTGGGGAAGTTCAGGTTAGGTGTAAGAAAGAAGTTCTTTACTGTGAGGGTGGTGAGGCATTGGAACAGGTTGCCCAAAGAAGTGGTAAATGCTCCATCCCTGGCAGAGTTCAAGACCAGGTTGGACACAGCCTTGGGAAACATGGGCTAGTATGAGGTGTCCCTGCCCATGGCAGGGAGGTTGGAACTGGATGATCTTAAGGTCCTTTCCAACCGAAACCATTCTGTTATTCTATGAAACGCGAAGTCTTCATAAAACCGAACAAAGCCACATAGGAGATTTCAAAAACATACCTTAATCATGAAACACCTGGAAACAGGCAGAATGTCACTTCACTCTCTGGGTATATTCCACAGAAGTTCTGATCAACTACTTTGGAAATGTTACAATGTTGCCAGTATACTAACACTACCATCATCATACTGATACTCTTATTGACAGTTCTGCAAATTATAGAATGGTCTTTCATTGCTTCTAATAACCTCAGGTTACAAGACACTTCTCCTTCAGTCATATTCAGAGTATCTACAGCACAATACAGTCTTGCTTTGTTGTGCACATCCAGATGCTGTAACACAAACTCCAAGGATAAAAAGTTCATGTCATTTTCTGTAAGTTACAAGACAATTTTTAAAGATTTCCACTTGAGCTCCTCAGGGAGCAGACAGTTCATCACTTCTACTTTACACTGATATAAATCAAGGGAGTGGCAGTTGTCCAGTGTTAGCAAACAGTTCTCTGATGAAACCAGGAGTATGACTTGGAAATTCTTGTTTTCCTCTTCCAGTCGCGTAGCTCCCCTGCACCATCCTTCCCCAGTTACCACAACTGAGGCATAATGTAAAACTTCTTCACTTTCTTCAGGGATTTCTTCAGTATCACATATGTCTTGCAGAGCAAGCCCAGCTCTGCCTGTCAACCATTAATATGGTTCCTTCAGCCACTACTGACTAGCTACGAGAGTCTAGCCAAATATTCCTAAACGTTTAAGAGTATAAGCAGTTGTTACTCATAATGCTGCAGCCTTACTGCAGTGTTTTTTTTCAGATGGGACTTTACTGAACCTGTACTGACAGTGAAGATAACACATTTAATGCTACTGTAAAGATAAGAGTCTGGTTATACTCAAATGGATGCTTCTGCTACCCAGAGCTGAAACACATACTGAGAACTACCCTGGACTGGGAAATGCTCAATCATGTGTCAGTTCCACAACATGACTCTTACTCTGACATCTAGAACTACAGGTTCTAAAGAGTCCACTCACTACGCCTTCCATTCCCCTTGGGAAAGCATCAAGAGAATCATCAGAAAACCTGGAATGGGAACCATGACATAATAAATACTATTCACTATCTCAGCAAGGAGGTTTTAGTGCCAGCAAAACAGTTTTTAAGTGAAACTGCAAGTGACTACATAACCAAGGAAGCTTTTTTAACTCCTTAAGATGTGACTGCTTTTAATCAATGGGCCAAAAACGCATGTGCAAGTTAAACCACTTTTGTTTCAACATCTTCTCCCTACATCACCTGCCCACAAAGCAAGACGGAACAGGATCTGGGAGTCACCTCCAGTCAGAAAAGTAATAAATACTGTCTTAGGAAGCATAGCTATTTTCATAAGTAAGGATTACCTACATTCTTTCTAAAGCCTTTTTTACCATTCTCACAGAAAAACAAATTTTATTTCTTAATGAGGTGATTTCATGAGGTGTTTAAATCCCTTTGTTTCATGAAATTACAAGTGCTGGAGATCACCACGTATTTCAAGTTACTAAACTGTGCTGGAAACAGTGTTTTTCTGTCAGATTTTCTATTAACTGATTATATAGTTAATTATAGAATCTATTATAAAAGTCTAATAGTCTATTATAATAGATGACATGATTATACAGATTATATACAAACTGTATAATCATATAGTTATTCTGTAGGAAAAGAACTGTCAAAGCCTTCAATGACAAAGTCTAAATGTTTTTTCTGCTCTCTCTTACACAGACATTACCAGTTATTAAATGTTAATGTCCTTCCCAATCTGTATCCAGTACCGAGAGCTAAGATTTATAAACTGTTCCTCTCGTATCAAATCATTAGTTTAATCTGTAAGAGAACTCTAATCAGCAGCCTTGATTAACCCCCTCATTTGTTGAGTGCTCATCCAACTTCTTAAAAAATGATGCGAATACCTTGGTGCCTGAACTACAAGGAAATGCTGCCTGTTACCATGAAGGGTCTTTGATGCATTATCTCAATCTGAAGGATGACACAATGTCCTAAAAAACGTCATCTGGTGTCTCAGTATTTATCTGCTGCTCTGGACCTACTTTAATACTGACACAGAATAGTTAAAATTCCTAAATACAGTCTTGTTCCGGAGAAAGAACAATGAGAATCCCTTAAACAACAATTAAATGCAAACACAATGAAATAATAAAAAAGGTAACCCTTCTTCTAATACAAAAAATATAAATATAAAAAACGCAACCCTGGAAATAACTTCAAGCACCCACTCATTTCCTTGCTCTGCAACCTGCCCCACCACCCCTGTCAGTTATTTGGCTTTGTCTATAAATGACAAAAACCAGAACCCCATCAGAGAGGACATATTTGTTCAAATGTAAAGCATTACATTTTAGAAAATGGGCAAAGTTGCATGTTGTGACAAGGAGAAAATACCACAATGCTTAGGGCATCTAATTGTAGCAGATTAGTGGACCTAGAACCACAGAACACATGCTAGCCCTTGCCAGATTTAAGACTGGAAATGACTTAAGTCTGCCGTTGTATGCTGTGCTGATGGGAAGAAACCACTGCAGCTATTCAGAATGCTGTGAAGTGTTCTGCTCACTCTAGGTGGGGGTAAAAAGGGACTGGGTCAAGCAGTGCGATGCCAAGCATCAACAAGAACACGGTATTAAGTATGGACATTCATTATCAAAGTTCAATTTTGTATCTGCAGGTTTGATTCGATAAAAAAATAAAAGAGGTTTTCTTCCACAGTTTATAAAGGCACTCTTGGGGAAGCCCGTTTTAGAAATCGAAGAGGAATACTTGAATTAGCTGGAGCCATTAGATGTACTACAGGTCGATCTCCTTTTGCCTACTTACGCTACGGATGCTACTGTGGTCTGGGAGGAAGAGGATGGCCCAAAGACAGAGTAGACTGGTAAGAGTTAACTATTTACCTGAGTAATTAAGTGATGAATGTATGCAGATGGCAGAGTAAAAGGACTACAGTATGAATTAGGCCTACTTAACACCAGTGAGGGAATTAAGTTTAAACTCATCTCAGACTACCAAGAAACTGAGGCAGTAAAATTATGTTCCTGTAGATCTGTGTGAGACCTACTTGCCTTTAACTCAAACTCTCATTGCATTAATACTGGATTCACAGTACAACTGAGGTTCTTTGCTTTTGCTGCTTCGCCAAAGCTGAAGAACTAAAGTCTAATTGTAGAAGCTTTAAATGTCAAGCATTCAAGCTATCTCTTTAGGGTAGAATATAAGGACAGTTCAAATCAGATTTTTTTTTTTTTAATAAGCATTCTAGTTGGAATTAGACCTAAAACTTCTAGAATCTTACCCTACATATTTCAAATTTCTGGATGTGCAATCTGTTATTTTAAAGACAACTTAGGAGAATGTAGTTGCTACTTTAAAGACTGGGAACACACATTAAAAGAACGGACTATTATTACTTCTATTCATCTGTAGCACTAAAGATAATGATGGAGAATCTGCAGTTTGCTGATCTTTCACTGTAGGCCATTTTTCCACATTGTAGTAAATCCCACAGCAACAATAAGCTGCTTCTTCACAAAACATGGTTAGCTATTTGTGGTCTGGGTTTTAACAGCTACAGAATGTTAAGAACAAGCCAGAAGTCAGTGTTCTTAGTCTATCTACTGCATTTGACCAGAATCAAGAATTGAATGTAGACACAAACTTTCTTACCAAGTCTGACTTCTTAAAAGTTTTGATATACATCGTGAGCTGTTTACATTTAGAATGCATGAAAACAAGTTAAGAAATACAGAAATACTTAATCTGAAGTAAAAACATCACTAATGGAATTATTCCAGTCATAGCTATTGCATTTTAGATTTTTGCCTGCCACTTACAAGAACTCCTTTGAAATGGGGACAATCATATACTGCTTTCATAAGCTAAAATATAAAATCCTTAAGCATCTGTTTTTATTTTAAATGCTTAAAAGAGGACTAAAGTAATTCTAAAAATTGTTGTAAACACATGAAGATAGTCTGCACACTAGCAAAAACCTGGGTTATTTACCCCAGTACTGCTACAAAGACTCACTAGATTCATTTTTTTTATTTCTATGGATGAAATGGAACTATGCTACTTCACAAGCATGGGCTTTTCCATTGTTACGTACCACAGGATCTTTAAATGGCAATTCACGTGGAATTACCCAGTAATTATTTAATAAGCGTAGGACAGAATAGTAGTTCAAATGAGATCTCACAGCATTAACTTTTCTATTGCAGACACAAATTCCTCAATCTAAACACCACCTAAACAACATGTGCCTACTGTAGTAGACCAGGAGGAAAACGAATGAGTGAACATGAAGTGTTTGCAGATACACCTTGGTGTTCTTCCACCAAGTCAAAGAAGAAACAGTATGGTTACTTTGCAGCAAGACCTTACAAGCTATCTAATTTCAGGTCTTTGTTACCTCCCCTACTTGGTATACTGGGATTCCAATGAAGAACAGTTTTTTTCTAAGCTTTAAAATACACCGTTAATGCTTTTCTGTGACAGAAAGTCTATGAATGAATTCATTGTCCCAGTTGTAACAAGAACAATTTTTGAAACCAGCATTTTGGGCATTTTTTCCAAATTCTTTGATGATACTAAGCAAACAGTTTTAGTTCTGACATGGCATTAAACAGCACCTATGCTTATTCCTTACTGAACACTTCATCTGCTTTCAGCTTTTCTGCCACCAAGGACTTTCCTATATGACAACATTTATGATGCTACAGCCCAACAAATCTTGTCCCCTTCCTGTAACTAACTGTTACAATAGCATTGATAACTGCCAGAAAAATACATCATCTGGCAGACTATCCTGGTTTTTCATCTTTTCTTGGAAAGGGCTAGGAGAGAGTTACACTCACATAAAAATTTACTGTGTTTAAATGGAGAATGCTTCAAAGATTCCTTGTACTTTCATCTATAAGGAAGTTCAACTAGACTAATGCATATCAGGCATTATCGTCAATTACATGAAAGAGCAGTAATTTTTCCAGGTGATCTATTAAACAATTACCCTGTTCTGCTTCCTGGGCAGGTAACTGGTTGTACATTCACATATGTTGACTGTTTTATCATTTCACAGCCTGTAGAAACATGCTGATGATAAACATCCAGATTACATGGACAAAAAATAACCACAGTTTGAATTAAGGCAAACCCACTTCTATCACTCTCAGGTGCTGCTTTAACCATGACTGCTGCTACGGCAAGGCAGAACAAGCAGGTTGTCACCCCAAGATAGAAAGTTACCACTGGGAATGTGAAGACAATACTGCTGTGTGTGGTGAGTGAACAGTTCTAGCTGGGGGGTTTGTGTGATTTGGGTTATTTTGGGGGAGGGGTGGGGGAGAAGCAGAGAAGTAGTTTTGTTTATCCTTCTTTACTTCTCCCATTTGTCTCATTGATTTAATAGAAAAACATTTTTTTTTAATTAACTGTAAAATTTTTATTTCACCTTCCTTCCTTTCACAACTTTTTTTACTCTCTGCCTCCAGGAAGCACAGCTATGCCAACCAGTTTAATGCAGTTTCCTCTTCTAATCCCCACCTACTGACATACATAAAGCAAGCAAAATTCTTATCTACAAGCTTTTATTACCCTTGCATGACACACTACCAGAAACCCTCTCTTTTACACATATTGAGGAACCCATGTTTGGCTAGTCTCTGCAGGTCAAAACCAAAAGCACACAGCTACAAACAGGAAATTACAACTGTTTAAAAGGATCCTTTTTATACTTAGAAGGTATTTCACACCATTTTAAGTCTACCATGAACAAGTTTTTGACATACTTACCACTGATCAGTTGCACAGCCACTGCTAGTGGCTACAACTGATGAATGAATTCACAATTACAACTTCCAATTTCAAACAGGTAACAAAATATTTGATGGCTATGTTTATTTATGGAACAAGCCATAACATGTTAATTTGAAGCGATTTATATAATTAGCATACAAGTTGCAACAGATGGTTGACCACATCCTGATATTGTTCAATTGCTCGGAAATATGAATGTAATATACTGGCCATGCTGTAAGTATGAAAGGACAAAGAGACCTCAAAGAAACAAACAAAAATGTGTTTAAAAGGAAAAGCAGCATTTCTTTTATATTAATTGTTCATAATTCCCAGGGTTCTAGCAAATATTTCCCAACACACTTCAAAAGCTTTTTGAACTGTAACTTCTCACAAGCCCCCAAATTTGCAGGTTTTTTTCTTCCTGTTGTTAGGTTTTGGGATTTGTTTGGGTTTTTTTGTCAAGTCATGTGCTAGGTCAGTTACCTTGCATGCTACTACCTGGAATGCAAATCAGCTTGAGAACTGGTTATTATGTGCTCCACAAAAATACAGCCCCTCACATAAACCTGTTTACAGTGAGTCTGAGTTTCTGACTACCATAGTTTAAAGGCAACACAGTAGGCTGTTCACAGAAGACTCAAAACCCTCTAATTTCATAACTCAATTTAGAATTTGCCTGACCTGACATAAAATTAAAGGTTTTGACACTATTTTATTTCCTCCCTTCCATTCAATCTTTACATTTACTTTTACTTTGCCCAGGTGCCTACCTCAAGCAGAATCTCTACTAGCCAGTTTCCTCCTCTACTGCATAAGTACTACATGTCTTCTCTCTCAAACTACCTAATTAACTGTCAGGTTACAGTCCTCCTGTATCTGGCTGTAAAGCTTCGGCTCCTGTTCCAGTCTAGAAGCTGACAATATTTTAAAATACTGGCGAAGACAGTAGGGCATACCATGGAGAAGATTAACTTTCAAGCAGTAACAAGAGAACGAATAATTTTTCTCAGTTACAGTTTGTTGGTTTTTTTTAATTTAGTCATGTTGTTTGTGCTTCTTAGGCTATTGAGTACTTCTTAGGGTAGCCAGTTGCAGCTTCAACATATATACATTAAGAACTTCCACAGCAGACTTCGAGTTCATTCACAAAACTGACAATTTGTTCTGCTCCTAGATAAATCTTAAGGAGAGATTTAGCTAAGCTTTTAAAATGTTAACTACTCAGACAAAATATAATAAAGGATTCTTCAGTTTACAGACAGTTGCATAGAGAAAATGCACACATTTATGGGTTGGCACAATAAAACCAAAATATATTGCTGTAGGAGAAAATGTTCATGCCAAGAAGAAACGTTCATGCCAAGAAATCTGTTAAGTTACAACACTAAAATTATAAAACAAATATCGCCAGACATGGATATTATCGTTCTTAAAACACACTTTATCTTACTACTGAATGCCTTAACAGAAAGAGTTGGGCAATTTTAAACAGGGAATATCTTTGCATCCTTTATTTCACATATATAATTCAAATGTGACATCGTTTAGTAGATTAAAGTGTATGCAAAATGGAAAATACCTTCCAAACTCCAGTTCCACTGGAGCAACAGGGTGATCGGGGAGGGTCACATACCACTTTCTAAAAAGGAATCAACTATCAGAGTTCCTTCATTGAAGAACATGAGAAGGGTATTTAAGTCTTTATCCAATTATTATTGTATTTTCACCTGCCAAGACAGTTCCAGTGATTATCAATCATCGCTAAACTAAACCATGCTTGTATATTCTCTGCTGCTGAGATGTTCTAGCATGGAGCTCTACCTAAAGAGCACGAAAGAACTGTAAGACTTGCTAAAGCTTGCTGCAGTTCCTATTGCACCTGAAATATAAGAACTATTTATATGGCAAATATGGAACATGAGGTAGCAATTCTTGGTATTCCATTTGGTATTTTTAATTACCTGAGACTAACAATAAACTTACTGTGTTTTCTTTCAGAATCACTAGAAGACAAATGTCAAAAAATGGCATGTGAATGTGACCGTGAAGCTGCCAAATGTTTTTCTAAAGCTCCCTATCATACAAAACACCTTTTATGGCCAGACTTTATGTGTGGTGAGATTCAGCCTTTGTGTAGGTATTAGATATATGACATCAGTCTTCATGAAATAAACTCTGTATTTAAATCTAAATTACTATTTTTTTGAGTCACAGTACTGATGACAGATGATTTTCCCCCCTTCTTGATCCTCCTTCTGCCACCTCAGCCTCTCCACTCTAGAATGGCAAAAGTAAACATGTATCCTCTAATTTACCTTCTACATTGCACAGACTAAAAGGAAGGTCATCAGTTCTGTGTAAGTTCTTACTGACTACATAGAAATTTGAGTTTTTTGAGTAACTGACTTTAAATTAATTCTGTTTATATTCAGATTCAGAGATTTTTCAGACTCATATCATTCACTGTAAACTCCACTGGCTGTAAGATAAAAATCAAACTTTTGTACTAACATTTACCTAAACGTTTGTTAACTTTGAACTGACCATTAAGAAAGGCATGAAGTGACAGCGTCAGCATGAAGACCCCTCTCAACTATATTAAATACTTATTATAACGCCTAAGTGAACTTGTGTCTCATTTACCTTCATCTTACATGAATTAAAAACCCTAATTCTTTTTTTCTAGTATTTACTTTTTAAATACAATTTTCTAAGAAGTTCATTTCATGTGGTTCCAGCTTCTTACTCTATGTGCACCTCAAGTATCCTGTGAGCACAGGGAGAAGTTCTACAATTTCATTAAAAACTTCAAAGCCAGGTTTAAAAGTGCAAATACAAACCATCACCAAGACAGATGAATGCAAAAAGCAGCAGTGAATAGGATCAGCTGCCTTCTCTGTATTTGAACAGCATGACTTTGTTAAGTTCAGAAGCATATATACCTCATAAGGCTGTACAGAGGTTTCAGCTAGTGTCACTTTGTAGTTTTTCTCTTATGAAATCAGTAACATGAATTGATGAATAATACACTTTTTCATAACTGCTCATTTTAACTGTTCAAGAAGCAGGAGTGTTTTATGTCTACTTTCACCCACCTCAACTTAAACATGCAGGACTACACAAATTTGCACAAGTCATAGCTAATGACAAGTACATCAATATAAATAAAACCAGAACACGTCTTTAGGAAGGATGAAGATTTCAGAAGAGATCTTTAATCTTTAAAAATATTCATATGCAAATTTAAAATTCATATAAATGATACAGATGAGGAAAAAACCCCAAACACAACAAAACCAACCAATCAAAAAAAGCAAACCAATGGAGAATGCAAGGGAACAAAGCTCTTAAAAAAAAAAAAAAAATCAAACTTTTGCTTCAGTCAAAAAGCATACACTAACAAATGGCAATTCTGATTACACAAAATAAACTTTCCAGTCAGTATTTGCTCACAGATCTAGATACACACATTATACTACAGCAAGATGTGTCGTCACTTTCCCAAACTAATTCTTTTTTAAGAGATAACCCTGAATTTAAGAATTAACAACAGACTTCAAGAGGAGAGCATTAAAGAAACTACTGATGAAGTCTAACCGATCTGGATCACCACATATTCCAGAGAACAAGAAAACTCAAGCAGCTTTTGCCTTCAACAGCAGGAATTTTAGAATTCCCTGCTGTGAGACTGCGTATTTGACAGTCACATCTTTACACAGAAAGCTGAAAACACTGAAGTACTTTCAGTATCAAGCCTATCCAGGAAGAGCCTTCCTTTGGCATACTGAAGTAGAGGAACACACAGTAGCTCTTCAGAAAACTCTCATTTTAAGGCAAGCTTGAAAATAACTGGAATGCTCAAGATGAAACAGGCAAGATTGATCTGATGTAAAATAGAGTGACATGACTGTTTTAAGTTTTATATGGCTAAATCAGGAATGCAATTATTTTTCCCCCATAGAAGATTACTATTGGATAATAAAGCCCATCCTCTGATTTGGAATCAGCTAGTTTAAAAGTAACTTATTTTAGGGATTTTTTTTCTGTACGTTTAAATTAACATAGTCTACCACTTTCACTGCCACATATATAAAGAAGAAGAGCAAAGTTTATTTTAAGTCCATTTTTACAAGCTAAACAGCTCAAATGTTCCAATAGCAGTCACTGCACTTAAGTCTCATGACGCCTTACTTCTTTAACCAGCTGATCAATGTTTGTAATTGGGTTAAAGTACAAGGCCCAGTAAAACAAACAATTGCAGACAAATTGAGGAATGAAAGGCCAAAAAATGGCAACAAAAAGACCCTGGGTTAAGGCTTTCCAGAAATGTCTCCACATTCTGTGAGGAACAGTCCTGTGAAAAAGGAAAGGGAGAGGCTTAGAGGAACTTTTCATTTTGCTTTTACCCATTCTAAGAAAAGCTAGAATGTGCTACAGCTGCAAGTTATTTAGCCCTTGCTCGGGAACCCGTAAAACAGTATTTTGCACTCCAGAAAAAGCTTTCTTAAAATACAGTAATACTAGATTTTGTATGAGGAAGCATTAAATCAATTTATTCAGACCACAAAGCACAGCAAGTTAAAGTGGTTGATCCCAGATTATTTCCATGCATCCCGCTCTCTTTTGAACATGCTCTGCCCCCTAGCTGCTGGCACAGAAGGTGAAAACGCAGTATACAACAAAACAAGATTTTCCTTTGCCAGCTCTAAAAAACTGTAACAGCAATTATGAAGCAACATTAACAGCTTGAATTAAAGCAGTAACTGAAAACAGCAATTCTGATCACCTATCAGAAATAATATCAGTGTAATAAACTTAGTCATGATTCTGAGGACTCATCTTTTAATAACTATACTGTACGCATTTAACGACAAAATTCATATATACTTAGTTCTCAGCTGACAGATAATACCAGTGACCATAAAAGGCAATTCTCAAGGTAAGAGTTAATATTTACCCAATGGTTAAGAACATGCTTATTACCATTACTGTATTTGCTACATCTGATAACTAAAACCAGCTATAAGAAGCCCTTTCAAGTATTCAAAGAAGTATAGTCAAGAGTGAATACTAGTGTATGTGTGGATTCAGACTCACATGTTCTTATTAACCTCAGAGTTGTGGTTAGACACTGTCATTTCAGTGGGTAACTGTCAAATTGCAAGACTGTTGCTTTCTATTTATCAGGCCACGTACTTCCTACCCTCGTAAACAAGCTCAGTAAGACTTACTTCAATTCTCTTCTTGACCAGAGCCTCCAAAAGGAGAATAACTCCAGAACAGAGAGCAACATGGCATTTACAATTATAAATCTTGATGTCCAGTAGTGCACGTCTAGCCAATCCCAAGCAAATTCGGCTATCAACTGGTATGGCAGAAATAAATACTTTACAATGAATTCTCTCCACTGTTTCCAGGAAGGATCTTGAGGGTCCTGTAAATTAAGATAAAAAGACTATTAATCAATTTCATAGTAAACAGATATAATACTGACTTATCTCCACTACAGTTTTGTTGAGAAAACTGTTTTTTCATACATTGAAAGCAGTAATTTCAATGTATGAAATCCTTTCTGGTAGATAATACTATAACCCTGTAATTTTCACTAGATAAAACACTACAGACAGCCAGACTTTACAATGCCATTTACTAAAATACAGATATTTTGAGTGAGCAGCCTTTCTACAGTCATGTGAACCACAAAAAAAAAACCAATAAAACAAAACAAAAAAAAACAAAATCAGTTTCATAGATTTAAAGTCTTAAGAGCCTTACATCAGTCTTACTAAAGGTAATGGTCACAACACTGGTGATCACATACAATAAAATCAAGGAATCATTTACATTCTTTATTTTTTCTTTAAAATTGTATTGTACAGAGAAGAAATGGTGCATAACTATATCATGTGTTTTTATGCTGCTATGTTAAAATGCTTATAACTAAAGCAAGTGGTATATTTAATGTTTTGAACACTTACTATTAGTTTTATGACAGTATCTTCATACACATCTTCTTGTGTGGGGCAAATTGTGTGGATAAAAGGTAGGAAAGCTTCTGTGTAATCAAACAAATACAGGTATAACATACTGAGTCTTGGAGAACTCTTCAGTGCATACAGAAGAAAAAGGGACTTTCCTGGATTTACTGCCTGAAAGATATCAAATTATTGTTTCAAATAATGAAAAGACAAAATGAAAGGGATGTGCCAGTTCTTAAGATTTTTCTGACAATCATTGTTCAAAGGATCATTTTTCAAATACACAATTCAGTAAACTGAGCTGTTTTCACAAGGATAATTCTACTACCTTAACATTCCTCCTGGCTTTAACAGGATTTTCATTTAAAGATATTTTTAAAATACTTAACATACATGACAGGCTTTAGATAAGATTTACCTTATATTCCCAAAGGTTCTGTGGTGGTTTAACACCTAAAGCTTTCACACGTTCCAGTTCTGCCATAATAGCTTTCCTGTGGTTACTGCTCTCTATACTGTAAGGCTCTTTTGTGAAATCCTCCTCTGTCAGTGTTAGGAGGAGTCTACAAAAGCAGAATTCAGAAGGTAAACAGTGACTCTTCACCAAAAAGATACAACTACAAATTAGCCATTACATACTGAAACAGTAAGTGACTGATAGAAGTCATCACCTTTTGAATTACAGAACCATAGAATGGTCTGGGTTGGAAGGGACTTTAAAGATTGTCATTACGCTCTATATCAAGTGTCCTAAACCAACTGCATCTCAGAGCCTGTGTTTTAGATACCCCTCATGTTTTTTCTTGCCTGCTTTCAACATGCAAAATTACCAGCTTGTTGGCTGGCTACTGAACACAATTCTTCAGTACTTCACACATTGAATCAGGTCTCCTGAAATCAAACCCAGAGCTCTTCAGTGGAATGCAACAAAGCATATAAAATTTGCATATTTTCACAAGAAAGAAAAGGTGGAGGGGTGGATAATATATTAGAATTCTACTTTCAGTACCACTAAAATCTGCATTGTCAGCATTTAAAGTAGTTTGTACAAAATTTTCAGTTACCTTGCTTAGCACCTACTACAAAAGTTTTCAACTACAAGTGTTAAAACTTGCCTGGAATTTTACTCTTGAAACATCAACAGAATATTCCCTCAATCTATAGAGCAAAGTATGGTCATTTCATAGTGTACCATCCCTAACAAAAGCTCTCCAGTAGTCCTATCAAATAAATGATAGGTGTTTTTCACAGTCAGGCCTCTTACCTTCCATTCACTTTCTCCAGTAGGAATCTTTCCTTATAATGTGAAGTCCATGGGCCCAGCTGCTCTAGCCAAATTATCACTTCCTTAGCAGTCCATTTAGCAACAGGCTTGTGGACAAGATAATCTTCTTCAAACTCTCTGCTGCTCCAGTGATACCCAAGTAGAACTACCTATAGGCAGATTAAAAAATAAATAAATAGAGAGATATCCTTTACCTACAAAGCAAATATACAAATAATACAAATAAACAAGCATTGAGTGGCTTGACATGTCGAATCCTCTGTTTGATGGACCCTAGAATATTCAGGTTATTCAGACAACCCTGAATGCTACCTTATTTACTCTGTTCAGCTGAAGCCTGTTCTGTGCTGATGATGTTTTGCATGTGCATGTAATTTAAGTATACCAGATTGCATGCTTAATGAAGTAAATATGGAAAACCAACCAGATGAAACTTACTGCTACACAAGTTAAAGCTGTCAGAACGCCTGAGAAAAAACCTCCTCCTTGAGGATTAATTCTTCCTGTGTTCCGAACTGTAGGCATCTGGTCATTCCCATATTTTTGGAAGGTTGCTAAGCTGCGTGCTACATCACTGTTTTGTAGAATATCTTCTTTTCTTTGTTCAATGGCATCAGAAAATAGCTTTTCAATAACATCCCTAATGGGAAAAATATTTGTCACTGTACTATAACCACTGAGACTTAATATTCAGAAAAGGGACATATTTGGGGGGTTTTGTTTTCCAGCCTCTACTTGAGACTGTCAACTTTGAAAGCAAGAAAACATTAATTATTAACACTTAGCAGACTTGAATCAATTATTTCCAAACAAGATTTTTTTTAGCTTCTAAAGATAAAGGAAATGAAAATATAGCATTGAAAAAATTCCTTCTTTCTTACATAAACTAGGACTCTGTGTGGCACTGGCAGGCTTTGTTTATTCAAAAATGCTAAGTAAAAGACAACATAAAATCCTACCATCAATTGTACAATCTATTTACTAAAATATTACTAACCTAAGAGAAAGTATTACTAACACAAAAACTTGTGGGTAATTCATGACAGCAAATTGGTATTTCTAGCTTTGTTCTGCAGTCAGATCACATTTCTTCCCATAGATAATTCCTATTACAGAGGTAAATATACAATTATCAAAGATCACTCTAACTTAGAATTATTGGGAAACAACCAGCTATATATAAAAGATGCAAATGTCTCAATACCAAATAAGAATCCCTTCTCTCCATCACCCCAAAAAACCCAGGATAAAGTAAAAAAAACAAACCCAGAGCCCCAGACACAGCCAACCAACCCACCCCTTAGTTCCATGCAGAAAAGTGTGCCTGAACAGATCAGTACAGGTGCAGAACATGAGAAACTTCAGGATTTAAACATCCCTGTGACAGTCTGGATTACCAATAAACTATGAAAATGTGCAGCAAACTCAAGAAAGCAGACGAGTTCTGAGGGTTTTAGAAATCCAGAAATGGCACAGTACACTCACCTAAAGAGGATGTTGACTTTGGGGAATCCTTCCCATTTTTCTCTGCATTCAGGACATTCATTCTTCTTGGAAGACACCCACCACAAAGCTAGGCAATGTCTGCAGAAACTGTGCCCACAGTTCAGGGTGGTGGGATTGACCATAATGTCGTAACAGCAGTGGCAAAGGAACTCACTCACTGATACCCGCCGACTGCCCTCAGGAGCAGCATGTGTTTCAACCTCTGCCCTCTCTGTTTCACCTTGCAAAGTCTCATCTTCTTCCATCTTCTTTTATGCCTTGTGCAAACAGAAAGCTCTCTTAGATCTTCAAAGCAGGTAAGGAATTACTTCTGCCAAGCAACAAGATAAACCTTCTCAAGAAAGATGAGAATTGCAAGCAGTATAATTTATCGTCATTCTTTTGTCACTCTGATGGTTTTAAATAACTAACTTAGCTCTCCCAAAAATAAAACATGACCTTCCCTTTTCAACAACATATTCATTGCAAGCTACAATCAAAATCCAATTCTACATGTAAACAGCAGGGCTCAAATCTCCCTGTATTTCCTGTGTTACAGGACACATAAAAGTGAAACAAAAAACTATGATTCAGATGACTTTTGACAGTTATTTTTAAGCAAAGTTTAGTAAAAGACACTAATCAAAAGAAATATCATTAAAAAATACCATCAGAGAATAAAAAAAAACAAAATACCAGTATACGTAATTTACTTCATCACTATTCTTTCCAAGCACATGGAATAAAACATTACTAACAAAGGTCAATGCTGGACATCGCTGAGCAATGTTAAAAAAAATACAGAAAAAAAAACCCCGATCACAAAGTCATACATTACAGCATTACAAGGGATTGATCTGCTTGCATCTCAAGGACTGGACTTTGTATCACTTTACCGGTAATTACTCTTTGCTCGTATTACAGAAAATGTACAAGTTAGAAGAGTTTTAAGATTGTTCTAAGCTTACCAAACTATTAAACCTACTTGCCTGACGTTCCTATTATATTCTCTGAGATTGCTAAACCTAGTTTCTTAAGAAAAACTCTGATCCAGATCATGTACTCGTAAGTCACGGTATGTTAGAAGCTATCAAAAACTACAATTTTCTCTTCTGGCACTACCAAATCAAAATATTTACACACTCCACCACGTGGCTTCTGCTTAGTACTAAGTTATCATCTTTCCACCCAGATCAAGCACAGAGAGATAAATATGCAAACTGGTAACGAATAAACAAAAAATACAGTACAGAAACACAAACCGATAGCGCAACCAGGATCCCTAGACTGCTGAGTCAGTCTTTCCCCAGTAAGGCAAGGATTGCTGGCTTTCCAAGACAAACCTGAAGCATCAGTTAAAAGAGCAAAACTCCCCAAAACCCCCAAGGTCTGGCACCCAAAACATTCTTCTGGTTTTCCTGGAAGAAAGAAGCAAAGGAATTTCTGAAGGTGAAAAAGTTATTTCACCAGTCTTGCACCAAATTAGGTAAGAGTCAGAAGGCTCACCGGTCCCTGTCCTGCCTCTCTAGCCTCAGCCCTCTCCCTCCAAAGCTCCCATGTTTCGGGCCTGCACCGGTCTCTTCCTGCCCCCTAGACCAAACCGGGTCCACGGCAGAGGCGTCACCAGCCCACCCCTACCCCCCAAGCGCCGCGGCTCGGGCAACCCCAGGCCACAAGCGGGAGCGGAGGCTCCGCGCGCCCAGTCCGGCCTCAGCCCCACCGCCCGCAGCGAAGGCGCGGCGCCGCACCGTGCCCTGCCCAACCGCCCGACTCACCCGCTGGCGACCAGGGCCCGCACACAAGGGAAGGGCCGCGCTGCTGCGCCCAGCCCCCACCGCCCCTCCGCTGGGGAGGGTCGCACAGCTCCCGCGACTCGTCCCAGCACCCCGCGAGAAGCCGCGGCGGGCATCGTCCCTCCGGACGTATATGTCTTCCTGCGCCCTGCCCGCCCCGGGCTGCGGAGGGAAATTGCACAGGCCCGTGGGAGGCTGCGGAAGGAGCGGGGCTGTTGGGGCGGCGGCATTATTTAACGCCGCGGTCTGCCCTTGTGCCGTGCGGCGGCACCAGGCTGATCGACGCGGTCCGTGTCGGTTTTACCTGCAAGCACCGTGTTTCAAAGCTTTTCAAATCACCGGACTGGAACACTACTGTATACGCATTTTTCTTAATACGCTCACTTCCACATGCGCGAGTGCATACGTCTGCTGAATGTATGCCTACGCACCCAGGTGACCTTCCTTCACAGCAACTTTGTTCAGCTTTTGTTCTACAAGTTAAGGTCTCATCTCAAAAGCAAATGAGACTTTCAGATGCTAGCTTGGCTGCAGTGCTACACACTCAATTTTTACCACACGGACGTGTATCTATATATACACTTATCCATAATTATTTATTATTGGTCTGTTCCCTTACTGCATTTATTTTTTACAAGAGCCCAAAGAAAATGGAGTGATTAAGTAGAGATGCATTTTTTCCCACTGTGCAACATTTTCTGAAATTTTATGTTTTGACACAAGCTGACAGTCCAGTTCCATTTCAATTATCAAACCCAAATAATTGTTTAATTATTCCAGCCTATTTCAATAAATAAACCAGTAGTCTCTCATTGTTTCCTCTCCCATATTATCCAGATTTCTCCAGAATACGATTAGTGCGGTAACCACACAAACTATAGTTTGTAAATCATAAGTGTAGTTACAGTTTGCAAATCTTCAGTGCAGCTGCTTTAATATATACATGGAAGGGAACCAAGCTGGTACTTTAATTTGGAAAAAAAAATTCATTTTCTGAAACTAAATGAAAGCGAAGATGTATGCCTTCCGAAACACTTCCCAACATAAAGACTTGCAAGCAGAAAACTAATTAAGGAACATTACACAACAATAGGGATTTTAGGCTTCAGCTGATTTACTGCAAAAGAGAAAAACCTCTGCTACTGCTTTAACCTCTTACTTAGCACCATTTAATCATACAGATGATATGCTGGAAAAGCCTGTAGAATAAATTGCTTGTACTTTAAAGGGACAAAAAACTAAATCTTGAAGAACCTTGAGCAGCTTTCTCTTCTCAGTCCTGCTTAATTCTGTATATTCTATTCTATATAGAAATTACCTCCAAATTAATGTAGAATTTTCCATTTGTTTTTATTCTGCTAGAATTCTGGAGAAAATTCACCTGCTGTTTGAACTCTCAACCCACAGCACATACACTGAACTCTGCATGCTGTCCTGGCCCACAGCTGCTCTTTCTGCTCCTGTGCAACAACTCATCTCTTGGGCAGTTGTTCCCTTCCACAGCACACATGCGCAGACATCTTGCTGGGCACTGAGCCTTATTTACAGTTATTCCGCAGTGTCGTGTGAAAGTGATGGGTTTAGCATTTTAACAAGGAACACAAATGCTTCTTCCATAATACCTCAAACCTACAAGCTCTCTGGGACTATCCACTATTAAGGCACAACCACCGCAAGTTCTACATTATGCTCCTGGTATGTTCTCACACACTCCTATTCCCTCTTTCTTGCTGGTGCTAGTTCTGCCTTTCTGGTCTGAAAGGCCAAGGCGGCGTTTTCCCACGTGTAGCATTTCAAAACACTCCCCAAAAGAGCAGCTCTGTCAGAAATCCTTTTCAGCCAGCGGGCCCCTTACAGCTTCTCCGCTTGGCGGCGGGGACAGGCCACTTTTCAGGCCTAATAGTCGGCTGTTGCATTGGCCCTAAGTCTGCTGCCGCTCACCCATCGGTGCGAGACCGGCGCTTCAACCTCCTCACCAGACAGCAAAGCAAAGCAAAGCAAAGCAAAGCAAACCCTGAACCCCTCCTACAAATCGCCAAGTGCCGCCGCAGGGGAAGATGGCGGCTACCGCCCCGCCCCGTCCCGCCCGCGGGCTCTCACGTGGGCGCTCACGTGCAGCAGGGCGGGAGGAGGGGTTTCCGGCAGCGCTCGGTGGAGGGTGAGGGTGTCGCCGGGCCTCGCCGGTGCGTGATGGAGGTGACCAGAAGCAGTAAGTGCCTCAGCCGCCCATCTGCGCCGTGTTCGAGTCGCACCTCGTTGGTCACGGTGGGATGCCCCGAGCCGATGCTGCAGAGGACGTCCCAGTATCCTCAGCGTCCCGGCTTCCCTTTTCTAGGCTGATGGTGGGGCCCAGCCTTACTCTCTCCTTTAGCGACTGAGGGGGTGCGCGCGTCTCCCCTCACGCGTAGGGCACAGCCCGAGGGCTGAGGGGGCAGCGGGCGGGCCCGGGGGTCTCACAGCCCTCGCTCGCTGGCAGGTGCGGGCCGCCTCTGCCCGTCTGACGGGCGGCGGGAGCCCGTCAGTGGTCTCAGGTGTGTTTTACCCCTCTATCCGCAGATTTTAAGGATACCCTCAACAAAGTGTATGAAGCCATTGAGGAGTCGGACTTCCTGGCTATTGACGGGGAGTTTTCAGGTACAGTCGCACCTGTGATTGTGATTGTGAACCTTTGGCGGTATCTGTGTGGGATCCAGGTGCCCATGCTCGCTCATGTAACACGTTTCCGTGTCAGCTTGAAAAGGCTAAGGCTATGCCAGAATGATTTAACTACTTCTTACATGTGGAATAGTAAGAGTTTGGGCAAAAGCAGATGTCATACTCATACTGCTTCTACTCCCTCTATGCAGTAATCTTTTAACATGTTAATTGATTTTCAGCTGTAGCTCAGGAAAAAAAAATTAAAGATTTTGTATGTGTCACAGTGGCAAGAGGTTGGGATAAATAGGGGAGTGTTTTGACGGGGAAAGATGGTAGTAAGAGCTTTATATTTATAAAATTCAGAGGGTTTATGCATCAGTAATAAGTGCTTTGGTTTTGGGATGCAGATTTCACTCAACCATAAAGCATAAATGTGATCAAAACTAGCTTTATTAGATGTGGTGCTTATAAAAATATGGTTGTTAAGTATTGCTTAAAGTGTCATTCAACAAATCTATGAGCAGCACTCTTCCCATTTTTATGTTGACTTTGGTCCTGCATTATGTTGTAAAGACCCATCAACATTATGTTACTAGAAGGTCTTCCCATGTTGCTGGTCATGTTGAATAGGAGCTAGAGCAGCAGAACTTTACTGCTAGAACACTACCGTTGAACTATGTGGCTTTTATGTTGACATGCATACTTCTGTAGTAGCAAATCTTTCTCAAATAATATTAACACACACTTTAAATTAAAATGTTTTTCTCAAATTACAGTTGCTCTGTTTCTTTGGTGTGGCTAATTTTGAAAAGCTTACCCCAAACAAAATATGTTCTATTTTTTCAGGCATCAGTGATGGGCCTTCTGTTAGTGCATTAACCAATGGCTTTGACACTCCAGAAGAAAGATATCAGAAACTTAAAAAGGTAAAGTGTTTACCTCGACTGAAATGAAAATGTTGGAAAAAGGTTAGAAGTCCTTAGTTCAGAATGGAGACAATATAAGGAAACATGACAGAGGACTGTAAGACTGGGTTACATAGATCAGATGGGGATTACTTGGCTCAGTGTCTCTACTAACAAGTATTGGGGAGTGTTACATTAAACTCGCAGAAGTCATAGTTGGAACAGACGGATGTCATTCCTCATGCAAGAGTCAGTAGATTGTAGAGCTTGTGACGGGATGTTGCAAGTGTTAACGGGATGTTGTGAGTTCAAAGGGGGACTGGGTAATAGAAGTTCAGTGACAGAGAGACTACATCAGGATTGGGGTCCTTCCCAAACTACCTCCCCTGCTAGTATGTACTGTCCTTAACAAAACGTAAATGCCAGCTGCCAGCACCACCTTTGCCTCTCTGCAGCACACACACACAGAAGAAAGGTGCTGGAGGGTGTGGAAAGAGTTTTGAAAAGTAACCAAATGAACATGAGGGACAACATATGGTGTGTGAGGGTCAAAAGGTACAAACTGTGATGCTTTGGGTTGTGGGTTTGGTGTTTGGTGTTTTTTTTATTTTCTCATATTCTTTCAGTGGTGCTAAAAACCTTTCCAGTATTGATCCAACAGTTGTGAAGTACTAGAGAACATGATGATAAAATGCCTAGTGACTATGCTAGCACATAATGTCGCACTATTCACTGTTAACCATGTGGGTTAGAAGAATATTAAATGCATTATTACACTTATTTGAAAACTATACATAGCCAGTGTCCCTCACAGTGCGCTCCCATGTTATAGGGAATATAAATGAATGTTGAGAGGGAGACTGACAGCTGCTTTTAGGTGCAGCATCTCTTGTGTGTGAGCAGTGGGTGGAGAGAAATGGAACTTCCATCAGTTCTTGTCTGTTTATGGAATGGAAGTGCATACTACAAATCAGCCTTGGTAGTAGTTTTTTGGGATGAAAACTTGTTGAAAAGCTCTGGTATATTTACTTCAAAATTACCAGTAGATCAAATATTTGTTAAGAAGATTCAGATTTGCTTAATTTTGAAATGGAAAATAATAATTTATTGTGGATGCACCTACTGATCTTTGAATATGTGCGATTTTTATTCTCATGCAAAGTTTTCCTTTCCTTTCCAGCATTCCATGGATTTTTTGCTCTTTCAGTTTGGCCTTTGCACTTTTAAATATGATCATACAGAAGAAAAGTATGTTATTCTCTTATTCCTTGTTTTCTTAATAGAAGAATTTATGAAGTAATATTAATAAGCTCTATTGACATGGAACTCTTCTTTTCTACAGGTATATAATGAAGTCATTTAATTTCTATATTTTTCCCAAACCCTTTAACAGAAGTTCACCAGATGTCAAGTTTGTCTGTCAGGTTAGTGGAAAAAGAAGTTTAATTTTGTTTGGTTAAAGTATACCTGCAATAAACTGAAAAATATTCCCATGAAAACTACATCATTGTAGATGGAGAAGTGGTTGGTTGTTTTAACAGCTTAAAAGGCAGGAAAACATAAGGTTTTGGGTTTTGTTTGTTTTTATTTTTTTTCTCATAAAAGAAATAGGCAGTGGTTAAGAGCAATCCCTAAAACTGAGCTTT